GGAGGACTTTTTGATGCAACTAAACCGCATTTTTGAGTTACACAGAGAGGAAACCACCCACGGTTAGCCTGATGGTAATTGGACTCTAACCCATGAAGTCTGCCACCGAGGATATTTTACGTCAGTACGAGTGAGGGTTTTTCATTTTGAAGTTATACTTCTTATGCGACTTCCAACAGGGATGCGCTAAACGTTTAACGCTACATTTTTATTGGCCGGGAAATCAAGTGGTAGGATCCAGTTTTCCCTCATTCATTTCCATATTGTTTTGGTTCTCACTAGCATAAAAGTATTGTTTTTCTATAAATAGTTTTTTAGTTTGTTTTGATACGCAGATAATTTAATTGGGTAGTATTTTTAATTTTCAAATTTAGTGGATAACAGTTGTAAAAAATGAGTGAAAACAATACCACGGACAATGCGACGGATTTAAGGTTATGTCAAGGTACGTCTCTTGTGAATATCAATTGATTGAATATCATTAGCTTTTATCTACTTACATCAACTAAATTTCTGATAAATTGAAGTATATATTTAATTCTTAATTAGAAAATATTCTTAATTGTTGAATATTTTTCCTTCCATGCATTTTTTAAGAGAGATGTCTCAGTTAAACAAAACAAAAATATATGATATAAATCAAATACAGTGGAGCATCGTTTATACGACGATCACTTATACGACGTTTACATTTATACGACGTTTTAGTGTGGTCCCAAATCATTCCTATTCATTTTAATGTAAAAATATATCGTTTATACGACGCACAGAATCGGTTATACGTCGGTTTTTAGATTTTGTTCACGTTTATTTAATTTTTTATTTTTTCTTGTGTATTTTAAAAAAGGGCGGAATTTGCCAACATGAATGATACAGAAAAGGGTGCCAACAAGAATGCTTGGATGACGACCGTAATTTTTACTAGATGACTGAAAAAACTAGACAATGTTATGAAGAGGCAAAAACGAAAAATTTTGCTATTCATCGACCAATGTCCAGCGCACCCATCGATACTAATTATTTTGGAAAATGTAAAAGCTCTCTTTTTTCCTGCAAATTGCACAAGTGCGCTTCAGCCATTAGATTTGGCCGTGATTAGAAATCTAAAATTGCATCATAGAAAGCAGTAAGTTCAACTCGCTATTCAAAGCATTGTAGAGACTAATAGCAAGAAAATATAATTAAAGGTAACATACATTCAAATTGCTCACTGCAATTTTTCTTCTTTGGTTATTTGTTTGTTTTGCTTTGTCTAATTTAGAAATTTATGTAAATCAACACGTTAAACATTAAAATTAACTGAAAACAGAGTTAGTTTTAGAAGTAAAAATCGATTATACGACGTTATCGTTTATACGACGTTTTTCGGTGGTCCCTTCGGCGTCGTATAAACGATGCTCCACTGAAGTAGATTTTTTTTTCATAAGAATTTTTTAAATCAACAATCTTACTCATAAGTCATGATCACTATAAAAAGATAGAGACTTTATTTATTTACATAGCGGACAATTTTAATTTCAATAACAAGACATTATAATGTAATTTATATATTTTTTCCAATTTCTTCTGGGCTAGATTATTCTTTCAGGATGATACCACTACAATTCATTCCAGAAAATAATAGTTTTTATAAGTACTTCTTAGAACAACAGAGATCACCTAGAATAACACAACAATAAAACATATTAAGATATACATAATCCCATATATTTGATAAGCAGATTAAAACTACTACTAATCAATAAACACTATCTAAATTACTTTGATATAAATTGTTCGATTTTAAATATCAGTGGAATTTTTTTTCAAATAAGTAAGCTTGGGGAAAAAAAGTCTTTTAAAGAATGAGAAAATAGATATCTAGGTTTTTTAATTGGGGGGGAGGGATTTTTTTTAAATCATTCATATACTTCAATATCGCATTATTTATCTTCGAAGGATTAGCATAGAACAATTTTTAACTATATCTGATAATGAACATCAAGAAATATTTAATAGCAATTAGTGCAAAGCAATATGGGAAACTAATATATTAAATAGAAAGATCTAATGAATGTTATATTTTTTAAAAAAAGAAATCGAACTAAAAAAGCGAAAAATATGTCATAAAATTCCAAACACTAACTCAATAAAATGATCAACATGCATTTCAATGTTTTAATATTTATTACTGAATTCCATACCTTTTAATTACACCATAAAATCCGTGAATAGCTGCATAAAATCTGTGGCAAAACAAATAAAGAATATTAATTTCTAAAAATATGCTGGAATGTTGGAAATAGGTGTAATCTCGGCTTTTGGCGCGAAGCTCCACTTACCTAGCCATCGAAAGTAGAAAGTCCTAAATTGAATAGGCATAATTTCAGAATGAAAATTAAATGAAAAGTTCATCACAGCAAAGTGCTGTGGAGGTCTTGTAGGCTGTGGGAACCACACTATTTTTCAATCTCTGGGAGGAGGGAACGAAGCAGCTTAACAAGCTCTTCGTTTTGTAAAAGTTCTTTCATTTCTCTAAAAATATGAACTTGAACTGAGTTGATTTACGCAGTACCTGTCCGCGAAGCGGACACTTCACTGCTTCTTCGAAGATGGTGCCCGTGGGCGCCTAGAATAATGTCTTTGTAAAAAAGAGTAATGCCCCAAGTGCATTGTGGTCGTCCTGGGTGGGTGTAGTCTTGAAGGTGCATCTATGACTTGTCTGCTAGTAGGGTTTTAAGAATGTTCAGAAGTTCCTGATCCTTAAGTAGCTGTTGTAGTTCTTTGTAGATGAACAGGAATCTGGTGGCTTTATCCGAGGTGTTCTTGAGCTGGGCTGGACCTCTAGGTTTTCGTCTGGGTCTTGCACCGCAGCCAGAAAAACAGGCTGGGTGCTCACCATCACAGTTTATGCATTTTGCCGGCTCGCATATTGGTTTAGTACATAAGTACGTGAAATGAGCATTGGCACATTCCATGCATGCCGGTTCAGCACTGCAGGACCTCTGTGTGTGACCAAATTTTTGGCAACGGTAGCATTGAATTTCATGACGGCCGCCACGAAATCTTTCTATCCGCACAGGAGTGTTCAGGAGTTGTTCAACATTGTAGATTTCACGATGCTTTGCATTGTCTGCAAGGATGACTATGTAGAGGGGGAGGAGCTCTAGTTCTTTTCCACGCCTTTTCCTCTTCTGCTCGATTTTCATTGGCCGTAGACCAATAGCAGAGAGGTCTTTTTCGAGACGGTGAATCTCGATATCGGCCGTAAGTCCTCGGACGAGAACTTTTAACTTTCTGCCGGTGGGATGCAGAGTTCCTATCTGGTTTGTAGTTTCAAATGGAGTCTCAACTGGTGCCGGGGCTTCAGAAGTGGTCGTGTCCGGGGTGTTATCTTCCGACCCTGGGGCGGCAGCTATCTTTTTCTCAGGGTGATGGTGTTCACTATCTGGCTCGGAATCAGAGTTTTTAAGTATCGCCGGGTTGACACAACTCTTTTTCCTTTTCTTCTTTTTCTTATAAAAATATGAAAGAAGTTCATCCGATTTTATACGAGCGATTAATCCTCACTTCGGCCGGATCACGCTATTGGTCGAAGATGACATCACTGTTTGGGGGAAGGGAGATGGTGGCTATTGGCTGGTGTTTGTATGATTTTGGCGACAAATTTAGTATTCACACATGCTCGCTCGGAATTAATTTGGTCGTTGTTAATGTTTACGTAATATTATGTCGTCGTAAGCGTGGGGTAGATAGGTAAATGTCCTCTTCAGTATTTTAGACAATATTTATGTTTTAATTAATTTAAATTCATCAAAGCTAAATCCAAGAAAAAAAAAAAAAAATCTTAAATGTTTTTGCGAATATAAGATGTTATAGTAATATTCAACAACTAAAAAAAAACGTATATACGTTTTTTTTTTTTTTTAGTTGTTGTTTTTCCTTAAGAATTGTCTATTACAGTTATAAAGTAACAAAAATTGAAATAAATATAAGCTCCAATCGTAATTCATTTGTTTTGTGAATAATTTTAAAAACTTCATAATCAAACAAAAAATAAATTTAGTTTAAAGTAATGATCACAATTCTGTGCTTAGCTCCCCCTGCATTTCTAAATCAGCCCCAGTTGCCCATGATGTAAAATCAAATTGGTGCTCTTCCTTTTCTTCCACATTTTTGATGTTATGAGATTTTGATAGGTGGCTTGTCATTAAATAATATTCGAGTTGTGAAACATACTTCACAACCATTCACAGGACATTTCAAACTTCCAGTTTTTACATCAACTTTATGAACGTTTCTTATATGCTCGTATAAAATTTTATTTTGTTTAAATATTGTTTCGCAAATAACCTGATTCTTAATTAATAATAACAAGAAATATTAATAAATAAAAACAAGAAAACATTAGAACATAAAAACAAGAAACATTAATACCACGTGTAAGCAGAGCACGTTTGAAAACTAAATATGAAATTTGTCGCCAAAATGAGATCTGTTGCCAAAATACTACGCAATACGCGGCATGTCCCTTCACCCAAACAGTGATGTCATTTTCGACCAATTACGTGATCCGGCCCAAGTGAGGATTAATCGCTCATCCCACACGCCAACGTGACTTTTTCCCCTGCAGTTTCACAAGCTTGTAGCTTACTTAGTGTATCTTTTAACTGGAGCATAAGAAGCTAGTTAGAATCACTTGTGCTTGACACCTGCTTATCCCGACTGGCCAGTGGACACCTAAAAAGTCTCACATTTTCTGCAAATCAAAAAATCTTTCCTCTTTGCCCTAAATGCCAACAAAACCAGGCATCACCTGAGCACATCTTGAACTGTTTAGGGCTGGACTGGAATGACATTCATTCCTCTCCCATTCTGGTTTCGGATTTTCTGAATGTCAACGGATTCATTGATCTGGTCTGACCCCGTCAGACCAGATGGGAATTAGCAACAACAACAACAACTTGTGCTTGACATTAAGAATGCTTTGCGCATGCGCGAATGTCTTGTGAAAAAGTATCGAATGCTTTGCGCATGCGCGCATATTTGTGAGACATTAACTTTGCTAAGTAGGTTGAAAACTCTTCTCATTACCATTTCCAATACTGACTCCGTTGAAGGCTCGCTTCTTTGGAAGTGACTTCCCATCTGGTAAATAATTTTTTTAATCATTCAATGCAAATATAGCATGTGACTCTTAATTTTAAAGCACACACGTGTTATAATTAGTAGACCCGGACTTAAACTTAAAACTAATCCTTTATTTAATCGGAACTTTCCTAGCAATATAAGTAATTTAAATTTATTAGCAATATGTTTTTTTTTTTTAACTTTATTCATATTCTTTTTATGTTTCAAACTTTGTATTTTACACCCACGTTTTTGTGGGAGTACTGTGCGCGTTTTTTTAATGATTATATGGCATTAGTGTTCATATGGCGTAAGTAATGCTTTAAAATTAATTTATATATATATTTTACCTTTATTCTATTTATTATTTTGAATTTTTTTGTCAAAAAAATGCATGAAAATGAAAAGCCAGGAGACGAAGGAGCTTTAGTTAACATTCAACCTTGATTTTGTGGACTGAAATATGAAAGTTGTAACTCTCTTTCATATTTCAGTGTTATTGTACAAAAAGTATCATTTTCTTCATTTGCTATTGTATTAAAGTGTTATTTTCCCTTACTATGCACTTCCAATGACACTTTGTCTTGATCATTTCTTTTTGTAAAACGTTCACTAATAAAAATTATATTAAGTTTTTAATTTGGTATTTGATGCTTAAGGTATATGGACACCTTCCACAACTTTTTTTTAAAAAAATCCCTATTAATTGAAACCTTAAGGTTTCTTTTGGTGTCTTGTAGTATAAAAACTGCTTTTTTGCAGTCGTTTCAGCAAAGAAAATTTTATTTTTTCTAACTTTGGAGAAAAATATGGTAAAAAATGTTGTAATTATGAAACCACTGTTTACACTCTAAAAATTTTTCAAATTAAGTTATTGAACAATTTTCTTCACTATTACGCTCGTAATAAATGTGTATTAAAAACAGACTAAAAGCTAAGCTCTAAATTAGAGGAACTATAAGTTATGGCGTTTTAAATAGCTTCATTTAAAAATTTCGAAAAAAATACAGCTCAAAATAAACAAAAACTGCTCAAACAAAAAAAATTACATATTTATGAAATTGATTTTAGTCTATCTTTGAAAGAATGTTATAAAAAGCTGCACACAAAATTTCAAGATTTTGGGACTAAAACTTTTTATGTTATGGTGTAAATCGTAACTCAAAACTTCAGAAAATGCATTTAAAGTAAACAATTGCATAAAAAAACAATTTTAATATAATAAATATGCAAGGAAATCTCATCAATGATATTTTACACCTTCAATTTTGTTATTCAAGTAAAAACATTTACATAAAAACATTATTTCCTTTTTATTAATTAAGTTTTTACCAATGAGAATTGTCAGATTTACTACTATATAATAAGGAGTAACATTGATGTTTTATTTTAAATTGTAAACATCATTTATCATTGTAAACATTTAATGTATTTGCTAGTTAGAACTTCTTTCTTATAAAGTGAAATGCTAATTATATTACAAGATTAAACAAAATTCAGTTTTTGTCAATATCATTTTTAAAAACAAGCATACATTTCATAAAAGATAATGACTTAGAAGTATTATATCACACAATTAAAAAAACAGTTTAGAGAAAGAACATAATAGTTTTGAAGTAAGAGTTTAACAAAAAAAGCAACTTTGGCATGCAACAGCCGCTTTGGTATGTAACCCCTTCTGTCAGTTCGAGTTTTGAAAGTTGACGCTTTTTAGAAGTGTAACTTTTTTCTTCGAATTTTTGTAGAAGGTAAAGAATGTCGGTGAGCAGAATTTAACCGCAGTTTGTTCATTTCTGTGAATGCAAGTCTAGTGAAATAGCCAGGGTTTATTCCAAATGATCTTAAAACAGATAGTAAACCACATGACCCATCGTTGAATTGCAAAATTTCACATGACACACCAAACTGCAGTTTCCAGTCCAACAAAAACATTCTTTGGCAAGATTTGCCAGATAACACCATTGAAGCTTTCATTTTGATTCTGAGTTTTGCCATGCAAACATTTCTTCAACAACTCTTGATTGCACAATTTCATGTATGTTGGCTTTATAGCAGCCATTACTTTCTCGGGTAAACCTTCGGCATTTTCTTTATAGTTTTTTCCTAACGCCAGAAACTTCTGGTACCTGCACCAACTCTCCAAGCCAGGAGGACACTGCACATGCATTGGCTTTTTTGAGCTAGAACAACAGTGGAAAAAACCAGCAATTACTGACCTTTGCATCTCCAGAAGATTTCCACTATTGCTCCGAATCGCAATTCCATAATAGTTTTGTAGTTTATCTATGAACTTATCTGTCAGTATTTGTATTTTCTTTTTACCTTTCGTAAGTGGGAACCAACACGCTTTTGCACATGTCCAATGCNTTGACGTGACGGTTTAAACCATGGTTTAAACTGTCAAAAACTGTCACATGTCAAAAACCTGCCAACCCTGGCTTTTGCACATGTCCAATGCATTCATATTTCACAACACTGTCTTTTCCATATACGTTTTTAACACTTTCATAAGCTTTTGCATCTCCATCGCCATAGTACTCTCTATTCTCAAGGCTATTCAGTAGAGCTGATCTTTGAAAGATTCTAAGAGCACCGACACTCTCCATACTTCCAGCAGAGCCTATATGATTTCGGCAAATATGAGGTTTCGTAGAATTTGTTGATGCTAAGCACATTCTACAATAGGATGACATCACCTCACAGTCAAGTACTTTACCGGTATCAATGGAGATGGCAGAGACGCAACCATTCAATGAACTATAACCTCGACGTTGCCAAGTTCCATCGACAGAAATTCCACAAGGTGTTACAACTTCATTAGACTGTTTCATTGCAATTATTTCTTTCGCAGCCTCATTCATGCTGCTTTTGGACAGTTTTACAACAGCATCAGATAACTTTTTCACTAGTTTCTGAAAACTGTATGGCGCTAAGAAAGGTAAGTCAAGTAGAGAAAATAGTTTTCTGCCTGCGGTGTAACCTCTACCAATCAATTGCAACCCATAAACAAGAAGAGTGTTGATTTCAGAGCATTTATCAATTTTCTTTGATGTTGGGAAAGGAACCATAAAATAACAGCTGTTACACTTCACTGTAAAGTTTGACAAAAGTCCATACCTTGAATCTTCAATTATTGACAGCGATTGCTGGAAACATTCAGAACAAGACGGGGCAGAAAGTAAACATACAAGAAATTCCATCGATATTATTCTATTACCTTGCATGTTAGCATTTGAAAACTGCTCATGGTTTTCCGCAGTTCGTAATTTTTCTTTCAGTTTAGAGAAACTAGCAGTCGAAGGTTTCTCCTTTTCAGTGTCATTGTTAGGTAAATTTGAATGCCTATTTCCATAGAACTTTCGCTTTTTATTGCAATAATTTTTTCCAGCCATATCAGTAGAAAACAATTATTATAAAATAACCCGAAATAAAGCTATTTATTGTATAAATGAAAGCAAAATAAGAAAACTATCTCCAGACAACAATCGAAATCACAAGAGAGCCAAATGACAACAATCTCTTGTTACCACATTTTAAGTAATAAAAACAATACAAACCATTAAAATATTTCGAATTGTTTATAATTACTTTAAAAAGTGTTTTAAAAACAAAAAAATATCAGAAAACAATCATGCACTGAATCTGTCAAAAACATGATTAGTTTCGGTTTCGAAATTTCACTTCCGATGCATTTTCACTGAAACTAATACTTCTTCAAATGCACATATCTCGGGTTAGAATTATCGTATAAACGAAATTTTACCGCCAATCGAAAGATAAGATTCCAAATATTTTTGAAAGTAAAAAATCTCAATTTCGAGAATTTCATAGAAATTCGACTTTTAAAGGTAGTGAGGCACCTTTAAGTCTTTTTACAAAAATATTTAGTTTTAGTCACTTCTTAATGATATTAGAAAGTTATCAGTAGTTTAAACAGATAATTTGTAAACATTAAACTTTTTATCATTTTCTAATACTGAAATAAAAGGCTTACTGCATTCCCAGTGAATGTCTCTAAAGGTATTAAATTAATCATCTCAATTTAAAACTAGAAAATAGACGTTTTTTAAATGTATGCCCACTTTCTCCCTGTACCCACCTGACCCTATTAAAATAGACTTTTATCAATCACCTATACAGCTCCAATTGATTTTGCTGTTATTATTTTTTAAAAAAAAAAAAATTCTGTTACAGATAAAGAAGTATTTTGATGAGGAGTTTCAATTCTGGTGCAAACACTGGGCCAGAGACCTAACAGCCCACATCTAATTTTGATTTTGTTTGGATCAACTACTGGATCTACTGGTTTGTTGCTTCCTTTTTAATTTATTTTTTTAAATGTTACAATTATCAAATTATAAATTCTTTGCAAAATATCTATTGCTTCCTGACTTGTTATCTAAAGAATTTTACCTATGCACAGAGTGACAATGTTTAACACTCAATGCAATAATTTTGACAGTATAATTGCACTCATAAATAGATCAGTTTTTTTTTTTTTAGTATCAACAAATACTTTTTTTTTTTACTTGTGTAACCTAGTTACTAAAAATCATGCTGAACATTTAAAGCAGGGTTGGAGTTTTTGCCGGCAAAAAGGGTTTTTTGCCAGGACAGTGGCAAAAACCAAATTATCTAAATTGCTGATTAAATATTATTTACAAAATACTTGAAGCAAATTTAAATCAATCATAAGGAATAATAATTTTGATACACATTATATGAAAAAATTCTTTTTAAAATATTAATATAAGGGTAATAATTTTTAAAAGATTGAAAGTTTTTGACCTCTTTTCATTTTACAATCCTTAAATAAATGTTTTTTTATAAATTGTATTTTTTTTTTACTTCTTCATAATAACTTTTGGTGTGTATTGTTTTACATATCACTCTTACACTATATTTAAAGAGTGACATAAGGAAGCTAAGATGGATGTTTTATTAGATTTTGAAAATCACCTCATTTCTCAATATTACTTCAAAATGCAAACAAAACCACACAATTTAAATTCTTGTGAAATTTCCAGAGAATTTTGGGAATTATATTTTCATTTACACTCATGTCCTTCTAGTAGTACTACCATTAAAAGAGTGTTTTTGAATTTTTCAAAACTAGTGTTCTGTTACGCTATGTTGAGACAGCACAAATTGTATTGTGATGATGAATAGAAGTATTGAATTTGCGCAGATTTAAAAAAATTGCGTTGATTGTATATTTTAATTAACTACACTTGTTGATAGATATTTTATGCTTTAAATTATAGTTATATTAATTTAAAATAAGTTCATTTCACTGGAAAAAGAGAATAATCACCAATTTTCTGATCGATCAATAATGTTTTAAACTACTTTATATATATTTATATATATTTATAACTTATGTCACTCTTTTTTCTTTTCTATATTGTTGAGCCTTTCCTTTGTCACGATGTGTTTCTGCTGCACCATTTACCCTTTGTCACATATATTGCTTCAAAACTTTTGCTGGCAGTTTAGAATAACATATTATAGACAATATTTAAAGTTTTATTTTTAAATTTTTTAATGACATTTGTAAGCATAACAATAATTTTGCTGTGTACTGATTTTGATGATAAAAATTAAATAATATATTGTAGCAAATTATATTAAAACATTATTTTAACCATAATGTGGGACGTTACACTGCTTATGACCCCTTCTCCAACTTGTCTCAGTTTTACTAACCCCTTTCCTTTCTAGGTATGATATCTGTTATAGACCGCCCTTCGTTGATTAGGTGTGGATTTGCACACATCTTTAACATATTATAAATAGTTATTTCTCAATTACTGATCTGTAAGTGTACAGACTAATATTAACCTAAGCATTGACGAAGACGATTTTGACTTCGTCTAGTTGCAGATATGTAGATAGCGTTTAGCTATAAAGACGATGTTAGTTTTGTGATGTTGAATGACGAGCGAATTGAATCAGAACTCCCGGTTTCGTGCGAAGATCAGCGTTGTTTTATAGATTGCAATGCATAGTTTTTTTATGTCCATTTTTTTGTCATTGGGATTTTGCGTTTTGTTGAAGATTATTTTCAATGGGACGTAAGTCATTTTGAATTTCGTCGGGAATAATTGTCAGGTTTCTTGTGAATTATTTTTAGTGAGACTTGCTTCTTTTCATACCATTTTTTTTCTGTCTGGATTTAACGATTCTGGTTAATTATGTTTAGTAGACATACCGTTACTTTGCGATTGTTGCACAATCACTGTTATCTTAAATTTTCGTTCTGAACTCAATTGATCAATGAAAAGAAAATATAAATAAAAAAAAAAGATTCTTCATTGATTTTTTTTCAATTATTGTTTTTCATTTTAAGCAATAATACAATTTAATAGGNTCTGTCTGGATTTAACGATTCTGGTTAATTATGTTTAGTAGACATACCGTTACTTTGCGATTGTTGCACAATCACTGTTATCTTAAATTTTCGTTCTGAACTCAATTGATCAATGAAAAGAAAATATAAATAAGAAAAAACATTCTTCATTGATTTTTTTCAATTATTGTTTTTCATTTTAAGCAATAATACAATTTAATAGGGGTATTTTGTATAACTTTGTTATATAAAGTGATATTATAATGTAGGTAATTATAATAATTTGATTATTTTTAAACCAATAAATGTGCAGTCGTTTTTAATTATAAAAAAATTAAAACAAAGCTTACCTTTATTTAATTTGCTTTTATTTTTGAGATACTGCAAACAAAGTTTTAAAAAAATTTGGCTCTTAGTTAAAAAAAATTAAATTTTTAAGTTAAATGAAGAGTTTGGTAATGTTTTGACGCTTTTTAATAACTTAACATTAGTACTTAAAGTATCTTTGGTTTATTTTTTTCTTTTGTTTTTTTTTTCTTTTAATTTTTAATGCATGTATGTAAAATATTTTGTTACAGTATTATTATTTTTAAACCATTAAATCATTTTTAATTTAAGAAAAATAAAATAAAACTTGGGTTTGCTCTTACTTTATTATTTTAATTGAAAAAATTAAGCAATGATATTGATGTCATAGTATAGAGATGGCTAACCAATGGCACGCGACACAATATTTTGGGCACGCCACCGATCACAAAGTTCACTATGAAGCATATTAACAGTTAAATTAAAATTCACAAAAAATTAACAATTAATGCTAAAAAAGCAATTAATAACCATTAAAAAAACAAGCTACAATAAATTACTAGCAAAAAAAATAATAACAGTTCTGCTTAAACTAACATCTTATAACCTTGATATAAGTTATTTGTCATCTAATCTGCAACAACAGAAGTAGTCACACTGATGTTTCTTTAAGTTGAATTACGTGTATAACCGAGACATTGCAAAATGTTTTTTTTCGTCGTAAATAAAGAGTTTTGAGTTGATAGTATTTAGTATTATTATTTACCCAATAATCACAAAGTCAAAACTATTTGTCGGCACGTCTATGGCCTCATTAAACAATTTTTTAGAAAAAATGGCACGTTGGTTCATAAAGGTTCGCCACCCCTGTCATAGTAGAATATGTTTAGAATTAATATTTTCTTTTGTAATAGATTTATTCCTTTTCATTTATTTTTGATTGGTATTCTTGATTTGATTTCCCATAGGTAATTTTTGTACTAAATCGCGATAAATCGCTGTATCACGATGTCTAACGAAGAATGTATCCCGATTTAAAATTTCTGACATTACCCAGTCCTAATTATAGTATTTGACAATTAAGCTTTAATTTTAATTATTTGGCTACTATTTTTGATAAATTTTTGCTCCTGTTCAGGCAACTATTTTCATAGTTTTAGGCAACTATTTTCATGCCTGAGGCTACTAAAAGCAACTATTTTTGTTAATTTTTGCTGTGGCAACCCTGTTAATGGATTTAAGATAAGGCTTTCAATTCAAAAAAATACATGATTCTTATTTCATTAATTATAAGGAGTTTATTAATAAATAAAAAATTTTATAACTATTATTTTAATGTACAAAACATTTAATTTTATCATTAGTATTTCTTTACTTAGAGAATAAATCAAATTGCTAGGGATAACACATGATATCCGATAAAAAAAATCATTTTCTTTAATTAAAAACCTATGATTATAAAAATATACTTTTACTAACGCTGGGATAGTTCATGATTTTTTTTTTAAATTTCTGTTTCAGTTCCAGCTCTTAGAATGAGTTTCTTCGATGATGTCATTTCTGTGGATAGAAAAGTGGATTTTAATCTACAAGAATTTTGGAAAACAAGGGAACCGAAAACTCCCCCACATGGATTAAATGTTAGAATGGGGGAGTTTAATGTTAATGCATTGCGCAATGCAATTCTTTTGAACGTTTGCTGTCAAGACGTGTGGATAAATCCCGTGACTGCAAACAATCTAATACATTTTTTGTGCGGAGATTTCATAAAGCTGGATCAGAAAATTCATTTGCAAGTCTTATTGCACTACTCCAAGAGGGATATTGATGTCCTTTATGATAAATGTAAAGAAAAGAAATTGACTAAAGAGGCGTTCTATTCTGACAAAATTTTGTCATTTGTGAATCGTGCAAAATATGAACCTGAAGCTCAAAATGTAGTGGTTATGATGCATCCTGACACTAAAAACCGTTTACTAGATTACTTGCTTACCCCACCCATATTGTCTGCACTAAGATCAGGCGTAAATATGCTGTTAGAAGCAAATATAAGTGCTGAAGAATTGCAGAACCAGCTGCATGAAATGAAAATATATACCGTAATGCGGTATAGACCATTAACTAACTTACGAGGAGCATGCCTCACAGATGGCATTTTTCTTTCTACATTGTGTCTAGCAGGTCCTGAATTTTCGTTTAGTTACGAAGCGGATTTAGTCACTCTTGCAGCTCACGAAACCATTCATTACTTGGTACGACTGCATACTCAGGACTTCAATTATTCAAGTCCTTTTAAATTTAGGGATCACCCTCCTAAAGTGCACAGAGTAGATCCTGTTTATCCTGAGCATTCGTTAGAAACGGGTCGCTTGATTGAGTTAATGTTATTTAATGGAATACAGCCGGATTGGGCTAATTCTTCATCAAAGGCTGCAAGAGTGTTTTTAACTCGTTTACGCACCCGGAAAGATTTTCCTGTTATTAAGAAGCAAGAACACGTAAACTTGGATATAGTTGATAGACTTTCCCCATCAGCTCCGTTTGGTATCGATCTAGAGGACAGGCATTTGTTTTTCTGTTAGTGTTAAAAATCATTTTGTAAAGTCTTTGAAAGACTTATAATTTAGTATTGAATAAGTACATAAAAAGTTAAATTTCAAAAGGACTTTTATTTTTTCTTAAAAATTCAGAACCCTTACAAAGTTGAGTTTCACTCATAAATGTAGCGTGCAATATAAAATATGAAGGGGCTAAATTTTTAGAAAGAAGTGCAGGGCTGATTGTGCTCCGGAGAAAATCCGGATTTTTCACTAACCGCGATCCGGAAGTTTCCGGAGATCGAAGGTTCAGACGTTTAAAAAAATCCTTGATCACAAAAGTTTCCGGAAATCAAATTTTCAAAGGTGGAACTTAAAAACACAGTTTATTTTATTTGTTTGTAAGGGAGAGCCAGAAAGATACTTTATAAGCTTATATTCAAGATTAATATTCATTTTTTATCAGTAAATAGTTATTATAATCATAAACTCTAGAAAGACAGACATATTTGTAAATTTCAATTACTTCTCCAGGTCATCATAGGTATGTGTAAAATTTTAAGTATATTTTAAGTATACTAAGAAATATTGGGAAAAAGGAAAAAACCTTGTTTAATTTTTTTCGATTTAAACTTTTTTTTTTTTTTTACTCAAGAAATTTTCCGGAATTTTGACTTGGGCTCACAATCACCCCTGGAAGTGTCGTTTTAATTAAATAAGACAAACGTGATCGCCCCAATAACCCCTTAATCAATTTGTGCTAAGGGCTATATTTTTTTTAAAAAAAAATTTCTTTTTAGTAATTTTTGTTATTTTAACTCAAGTAGAGTTTGTTAGACAGATAGGGGCTAAAAGGTATGAGGTTCGATCCTCGTTAGTTGTCGAAGAGGACGATCTCATGTATACAACTTGTGGCGGTGACGTCATGGTTTACGGGGATCGGCCTATTTCTTTTCATTTGCTGTTGGTCGTTCTTGCGTGGATCATGACGTCACCCATCATCTGTTAAAAGAGTATTTAAGTTTCTGCTGAAGCAGATCATTGAGGTAAACACCGTAGCACTAATTAATATACATTAAATGAAATAATAATAATTCTAATGAGCTTATGTTTTCAATACCAAACAAATCCAGAAAAACAATTTTTTTTTTTTAAAAGATTAACTAAAAAATAAAAACATACAAAATTCAATAAAACATCTTACTTAGTTCTCCTTCAATATAAACCAATTTAAGAAACTCAGTTCTCCTTCAATATTGTATTATACCAATTTAAGAAACTATCAAAACATGTATTTAATGATGGTCTATTTTTATTTCCACCATTTTTTAGGCATGCCTGAAACTAAAATCTGCTTAAACTAACATATTTTATTTTCACATTTTGTAATAAAGGTCAAGATTAAAGAAGAAAAAAATCAAAATTTCATAATTTTTTTCATCTGATTATATTAAATTAAAAATTATTTATGCAAGAAATAAGAATTTAAATTATTAAAGATATTTTTGTAAAAAAACTGTTTTTAATACTATACAAATTAAAAAACATTATTAAAGGTTAACTATTAAATAACATACAAAATTCAATAAAATGTCTTGCTATAATTTATGCTTTTAATTATATAGTAAGCATATTGTTAAAATAAAAAGTTCGCCATCAATAAGTACATTAAACCAATTTAAAAAAAAACTATCGGAACATGGATTTAATGATGATCTGCTCAAATGAACATATTTAAGTGATATTTTGTAGTGTGAGGTTCAAAGAAAAAAAAAATTATTTTCTTATCTGGTTTTATTACATTGAATTTAAATTATTAAAAATATTTTTTATAAAAAAAAACTAGGTTTGGTTATTTTTAAGAAAAATATTTGAATAACTAATTAAAAATATTGATATGAACAAATATCATTTATGAAAATAACCCGTCTCTTCTTCATTTCTTTACGGCAGCAACAAAATTACACTCATTATTCAACTTTAATATCATTAATCTATTAACATTTTTTAATTTTATAGAATATCTTTTATCTGTTAAAATCAATTGAAGTTGAGAAAACACTCTTTCAACTTCTGCATTAGATACAGGTAAAATATTTGCTATTGTTACTAATTGGGGAATTAGAGGAAATCTACTGGAGCTATTTGTTTCATGCATTATTGAATTTAGTTTTTTGATATCAAGAACACTGTTTGGAATACTAGACATGGAAAGATAAAGATTTTTAAAGTCACTCCATTATCTTCATTAAAATCAAAATAATCAGCGAGTTCAATTATTTATGAATTGACATTCCGTCTACAAATCTGGTTAAATTAAATATACTGAAATGAGATATCACTTGCTGATTTTCCAATCGTTCTGATATGTTTTTAATTAAAATATCTAAAAACTCCTTTGCGTCTTTCTCAAAAGGACCATCGCTCGGTCCAATTGGTGCCATTATCTTGAGGAGTCGAGCACGCTCCTCCAACTTTTTGCAAAAAGTCCCACCGGGTTTCTTTTTAAGTCTCTCCAATTCAGCTAAAGTATTTCGTACTTTTGGTTCTATCAATCCTATGTCTGTTTTCTTGCTGCAAGCTTAAATTGAGATGTGTAACTGATGATAACACATCACATAGGAAGTGAATTGCTTTAAAAAAAAATCATAGCTCTGAAATTGCTTCAGTAAACCGCTGGTAGTTGGCCCAGAAAGCTGTTTTGAAGAGTCATTCACTGCAGCGTTTTCTAAATCAGCCAATATGGCTTCATAGTTCTTGCGAACTGAATTTACTGCTTCATTGTGAGATAACCATCTAGTGAAGCCCATTCTTTTTATTGTTGTACCTCTATTCTCTACATTAAATAAATTTTGAGCATTTTTCAAGCTAGTTGTTCTAGCTGATGTGCTTTTATAATACTTGTAAGTGCCATTTAAAATCTCGTCCACTTTAACGAACCTTTTAAGGCACTCAAAGCTATCCTTTGTTGCCAATCTGTAGTTCATACAATTAAGTTTAACAGATATTATTTTGTTCTCTTTTTTTTAATTTTGTGACTACTCCCTCATTTTTTCCTACCATAGCACTGGCTCCGTCACTTACTAATGCGGACATTTTATTTATGGAACCACAGTCATTGACAACTTCGGATAAGGCCGATAAAATTTTGTCTGCCTTTCCATCTGGCAGACTACAATCTCTTACAAAAGAGTGTTTTGCTTGTCCATCTTTCATGTATTTGACGACTACACCCATATGTTTTTTATTATTAATATCGGATGTTTCATCTATAACCACAGAAAAAGAAAGGCTACTGTTAATATCAGTTAGAATTTCTTCCTGAACGCTGGCCATGCACTATAATAGTTCATTGACCGCTGTGTAACTGGTGTATACAACATTTTTCGCTTTTTTTTAAAGGTTTTAAAATCGCACAGTCCAGATCATCTATGCAAAAGTTTATAAAATGCTCAAAAAAAGTAATGTGTGGCAAGTTATGCTTAATTAAAAAATTAAGGCACTTCATCGCTGCAGTCACAGCCTTAAAGGTTTTTGTGTCTTCATTCGTTGTTGAATCGTTTAAATTATTGCATTTTGCATCGGTTTCAGTAGCTATTGAGTCAAGATGTGCCAATGATTTTTCATGAGCTCTAATTTTATCTAAACGGATGCTTACGCAGTCCTTCTCCACCCATGGAGAGCTAGAGTTTTTCTTGTGTTTCATGCATAGTTTGCACAATAAAATTTCCTTACCATCTGTTATGCAATGTTGCAGCCATTGAAATTTTTGCAACCAAGTTTGATCAAATACAGTTTTATGTTTACTTGATGCACTTGTTGTCTCCAAGTTGGATTCCACATCAACAGTTTTTTGGGTAGAATCAATTGATTAAATTGCATTAAAGTAAGCTATGCAATATAAACAAATTAACAAAGGATAACTTAAAAAAACCAAATATATAAAAAACAAATTAGGAAAGGATGACTAACAAAAAAAATAAGCTACAAAAACTAGTTAACAAGAAATCACAAAAAAAAAACAGTAAATAACTATAGAAAACAAGCTAACAATTAATAACTAGCAAAAAGAAGAAAAAAAAATAACTTACTTACTAATAAAAAATCAGTCGAAAGAAATAATTAATCCCTTAATAAACGTGCTTTTGTAGTACATATTATCGCAAACTATTTAACACAGTGTATTATAGGTAAGTAAACAATTTTTAATCTAATTTTTTTTTCATTGTGTGCCGCCAAATTCCGAAATCGGTTTTGTTAATCGGTTTTGTTAGTTAGTCTTTCAGTTTTTATTTTTTAAATGTTATTAATATTACTCAATGTTTTGCTTCCAGCTACAGTTCTCAAACGCTTTGAGGTCAAGAGCTTGCGGAAAATTTTGGGAAGGTCTGCTACAGCCACTGATTGGGAAGGACAAAAACCTAAGATAATTGACGTGACCAATTCTTTGAACTTGGAGACCCAAGAATGGGCCAATTTGTTTTACTAAATTTTTAATGTTTATTCAAATAAAATATTCACAGCTACTTTTTGTTTTATTCCTCTGCATTCACACCTTCTATATTACAAAGCACGTTCATATCAGAAGGGTAAATTTTATTAAGCCCATAAAATTACAATACTTTTGAGTTTTTAGTGCTGTTATGCAACATATTAAATTATGTACTAATTTTCAGTGACTGAATCCTGTCTGAAGATCAAATGTGCATTTCTAATGCTAAAAAATAAAACAAATTTACATGCGTGAAAAATGTGGTTATTTTAAAACAAGCAAATAGTCTTTGATTTTGATTTATAAATCATAGTTGAGCTGAAAATAATTATCATGCCTTACATTAATATTCACTTCTTATATTCCATCTACAGTGCTCACACTTATTCCTATTCTCCTATTTTACACTTAATTTTTAAATTAATTACTGAGCAAATTCTAATTATATATATATTTGGAAACTGATTAAAACAAATTTTGAGTGCTTATTTTTTGTTGAAAAATTGGAGTGCAATTAGCGAAATAAAATCGGAAGTACAGAACCTTATAAAATAATTAACACAAATTTATCTATATCCTACAACACCCAGTGAAAAAAAATTTCTTGAATAACGTATCAAAATTATCGATCGGTGTTCTGCAGCATCTTTAATATTTGTTGTACGAATAACGTGATGAAAATATTCATCGACGTTCTACTGTATCTGTAAACGCCGTGGAATATGGTTTTTTCAAACTCGACATTCTACGGCGTTATTGAGATATCGATCTATATCAAATTTCACAATGTCGTACAATATTAAAAAAATCGGGGGTTTAATATAGATCGATCATTCGATATTGAGTGCTACTTGGGTATTAAGATTGAGTATGTGAAAATACGATCATTAGATCAGATCAAAAGTTATTTTGAGGGTTCACTTTTTTGTTTTGCTCACAGTATGTCGAATTTGGCCAGTTTAGCACGTGCTGGAGTAGACTCCTCTTAAAAACAAATTATTAATTTCGTCTAAAATGAAATTCAACTCTTATTATATTATAAAATAGGTCTACTTTTTCCACATTCATTTTGAAACAAAGGAAATTATTCCATTGAGAAGCATACTTAATGAACAGTTGTTTAAAATCAATTCATTCAAGTGATATAAATAAAAATCCTATAATGTTGTAACAATATTTTCAATAATCTACAAATGGGGGAATACAAGTTTAAACTAACTTTATTGTTTACATTATATGTCTATAGTTAAGTCTCTTTGGAGGGTTGTTGCTTCTTTTTTCTCAGGGCTAAAGAGAATAGAAGGGCTGGTTCACTCCTTTGAAGTAGCTCTTGCCGCGCCAATCCTCCGATTTTCTCTAGTGACGTCACTTTGGCGCAAAGCTCGCACTTTTACTTCCAGAACGGAGCGTTCGGCCATACTAGCTCTGACTAATATCGGAGCATTTCTTTTTGCGAGATATTCTAAGACAGTTGTTATTTTCTATAGTGACTTTCCTCAGTTTTGCAGTGAATTTGCAAGAATTTAAAACAATTATCGAAATGCCAGTTTGCGCGATTGCAACTTGAAAAAATTTTGATAGAAAAACAAAAGGAAAAAATATAATTTTCCGCGTGTTCCCTAAAGTAAATGAACAACTATGTAAAGAATGGATTCCGAAATGACACAGTTAATATAAAACAGCAATACGTTTATTCTGTCGTTAAGAACTTTTATAAAAATTCATTATCTAAATAGAAACCGCCTCGTTACTTCAAAAAGAAAGGCAGGTGAAAAAAATTAAGAAATGGATAAAGTCAAAGAAAATTAAAATTTAATTAAAAGTATAAATAAAATATATAGTTGGAATTCTCCTAATTTCATAACATATTTCTTAATGCAGTTATTCTAAATATTCATGATTTTTTTTAAAAATAATATTCTCTTAAATTTAAATATCTATAAATTATGTCATCGTAAATTTAAATGTCTATAAACAATTGTAGAATTTCTAATGTCATTATGAACCTAAATTATTATTTTGTTTTAGTAATTAGCGTTTAAGGTTGATGTTTCCTATTGATTAAGTATGAACAAATTGCTATTAACGGCATATTTTAAAATCAGGGATTCTAAATTTAACTCAACTTATTGTTATAAAAGAATATGTGGATAAAGAAAAAGTGACGATATATGCCTTCATTTTTCTTAATAATTAAAGTTAAAATTGAACTTTTTAAAATAAAGTATTTATAGTGTCATTTTCGCCAACAAGTAAAACATTTTTATAAGTTTAAAATAGTACTTTTTTTAATATTATGGCCAAGTAAGTTATTTTAACAATGCTTATGAACGGAAATAATGTGTTAATTACGTAAAGTTTGAAAGCTAATAACCAGATTTTTACAAAGAGAAGGATGCAAAGTTATCATAATATCTTGGCTTGCGATCTCTGAGATCTGTGGACACAGTGACGTCATAAGGAGGGAAATCGTAGCTTCAGCTCTAAGAGCGGAGTGAACTAGCCCTTCTATTCTCTTTAGCCCTGCTTTTTTCTAGCCTCGTTGCATTATTAAAACTTTAAAAAAAATGAATAGTTTTAAAGTCTCCTTGAATATCAAATAAAAAAAACATACCGATTCAAGATAAGAGTCGCACTGTTTCAATAATTTTTTTTAAGTTTTAAATGTTCAATTTTCTAGCGCACGCGAAATATTAGTAACTGATCTCTTAATCATGTAATTGGTTTAAAAGAATATGTCAAGGAACCTCTTTTATTAGCCCCTACCACTTTTTTGTAACAGAAGTCGCCACCAAGAAGGGCCATTTAAAAGTGTCGAGCATATATATCTTTAGCAATTAGCGGTCTCCAAGATGACAAGGATGCTTTGACATGTCAGTGTAGTAAATTAATTTGTTAAACTAGTTATCACAAAGCTTCTTCCCTGTTTTTTGCCTCAGCTATCCACCAACATTTCATATAAGCCATAGACTACGTAGGTGGTCCGTTAGGAAAAAGCATTGGTCATTTTTTGATGGGATACTGGTGGAAACTTTTTTTTTTCCTCCCGAGATTGAAATAAATAGAATACAATAGCAATTTAGCTTGAGCCATGATCTCGTGTAAGACCTTATAATAAAATAAAAATGTATTAAAAATATTTCTAGAAATTTTTTATTATTGGATCTTTGTGGTGCTCTACGCACGTTCTTAATGGCTAATCCGACCCTGGTTATTAGGATTTATTCTGCAGAAACAAAATAGTTTCAATCCTACTCTAACGTACTAATAAAATAAATGTTCATAATTGGATCTGAAATTTATGAAGCACATTGTTTTTTAAGTGTTAAATGCTTTTCACATATAAACCACTCAGTGGGACTGGGCATTTATAAGTGAACTAAAACTACTTGATTAAAAAACTTCATTCGCTTTAAAATTTGAAAGCGAATGAAGTTTTGAATCAAGTAATATCTTACTGCTTCAGAGTTTCATGGGATTATTTATTTATTGATTCCCTTGTTGACATTACAAATTAATACACGAAACTGCTCTCTCTAGGGCTGCCAAAAGAAGAGTTCATGATTGGGGGTTCAAGGCCAAGGAAATTTATACAAATTTGTTCTAGCCAGACATAATAGGATTACTTAGACCGAAATATATTTTGGATAAAGGCTAAAAAAATTAAGATTTTAAACAATCACTAATTGCTGTCATTGTTTACATCTTATAAATTTTTTATATTTTATAACTGAACCAAACATTTGTTTAAAAGTAGTAAAAAATGTTATGGAAATGCTGTTCGAGCGCACCACAATCTGAAAACTTTTTTCGGCGTACGAGGTCGAGTGGGGCCGAGCCAGTCGAATGATGATGAAAAATAAATCCACAGAAACATTAGGAATTGTACTCATACTTTTATTACTCAATACTGCTTAAAGGCATAATCATTCATTCATAAAATTTTTTAGATGAGACAAACAATTACTTTGGAAGTGTCAACAAATTTATTCTACCATATCATCTCACTGAGTTTGGTAGTCACATCCAATGTGTAATCACTCACACATAAAACATACAAAAGAATTACAGTTCCCCCTTTCTTTTTATTCTTTTTTTTTTAAAAAAAAAGTGGAATGAAGCACTTCAGCAATATAGGTACTATGATAAATCAAAAGGCAACATTAGAATAAGCTTACTTATTTTTTCACAATTTGCACATTACACAGAGATGGGTCTGAAAATTTTATTGATTAATTAGGATTAATTAAGATCCAGCGCTAAAAACATTTTGAGTTATAATTTTCAATCACTTCTTTTAAATGCAATATTGAACGAAAATGAATAAAACAAATTGAATCACTTTTGCTAATCTCAGAAATTTTTTTTGATGTTCATGATTCATTAATAATATTAAATTTATACAAGATGCACTAGCTCCAGTTTTTATTTTTTACAATATGTAAGAATAATCTGTATTAATAATTAAACTGAAAATCATGCAGTACTGAAACGTTATTATTCATTTATGTTCATAATGAAAATTTCACTTATCATTTATGCTCATTATGAAAGGTTACTTATCATTTACGTTCATGAGGAGAATTTTAAAGATTATAAAATGATTCAGCAACTAATGACTGAAATAGATTAGTAAAATGATTTATGTAAAGAAATTATCGATAAATAATATCTCAAAAAGATAAGCAGCGAGATTTATAAAAGACCTACAGATTGATTACTTTAAGATCAATAGATAAATTTAGATAGGTATAGTGGATAGATTTAGATATCTGATTGATGTAAATTAATGCATCAAATAATGAGGCATTATAATTTTCTAGAATTTTTAATCAAAAAACTTTTTATTCTTCACAACATTGGAACAATTTTAAGCATAAATTCGTTTTTTTTATGTTCCTTAATTTAAAAATTTAGGACAAAAATATATTTTAAATGTTATAAAATTTAGATTTCAACAATGGAACACTGAATGAACCAATGAATTTTTAAAAATGGCCAATGAGTAAAAAAGATTTGAAAATCAAGCTAATACTGCAAGTATTAAAAAGATATAATCATTCGAAAAGTCCAATTAGAGAGCAGTACAATTTAAATTTCTCAATTGTAAATGATAATCTGTGAAAAAAAAGAGAGAAAAACAAGCAAAAGGCACAATTGAAGGAATACACATGCACAAAAACATATAACTTTAAGTACACACATAATTTACACAAAAATGTACTTTTTCCTGATTGTATAATGTTCATTCAAATATTAAGATTTAAATAAGTATAAGACAGCATGATTTTACTAAAAATCAGATAATGGAATGAGACCAAAATGAAAACGCCTTGGAATGCATTTGCAAAAAGTTTAGAGATAAAATTGCAATTTTGTCATCTAAACGAGCTTGGCTATAAATCGTTCTTAAAAAGTGACATAAAATAGATCTATTAAAAACAGATACTTAGTAAATCAATTCAATAAAAAGCTAAAAACACAAAATATTCATTCTCTTCATTTAGTTTTCGAAAAAAAAAAATGTAGCGATAAAATAAGTTACCAAGCATGTCTTTTTGAGAGAAGTTTTTTTTTAAATCCCCCCAAAAATAGTTCTCTATAAAATAAAACATTTTCTCCATCTCAAATCACTAAAAATATATGTTTATATATATATATATATATTTATAAATACATGTTCAACATAAGAGATTCAGCATAGCGTGGGAATGATAAGTCATTTGCTATGTCCAGACGTCGCAAAGCACTCTTTTTACCTTAAAAATTTGCGGGAATGAAACTTACTTCCATTGGCAGATTTGTTCCAAAATAAAGTGACAAGTCAAACGTACTTGAGCAGATTTTGGGACACTCTCTACTCATCCATATTGCATATTTACTGCCATTCAAGTCCTCTAACATATTTTTGAAACTTGAATTCAATATTACATATTTTCAGTAATATTTATATTACTTAGCAACTTAAACACACCATTTGTAACACTTGAGGTTTTTGCGGTACGTTTACCGTAACTCGTGTTTGGATTACACAATTTATGCAAAATGAAACTTCTTTATAACATATGTAACTTTAGTAATTTATGCTTTTTATGTATTTTGCTGCAAATAAGATTTTTCTAGAGGACTCAACTCTGGAGTTAGGCAAGCAATGTTCTCTTTTTTTCCCTTCACACAATGAAAAACAATGCAAATAAAAATTATGGAAGCCAAATGAGAAACTAAAAGAGAAACCCCAGTTCTCGTAAGTCATGTCGATATACACAGCTTTCTTCAACGAAAGGTGGGTTGTGAGTCTATGATGAAACATTTATCCTTCTCTTTTTGCCAGCAAAATTGAACTGTAAACGGTAAAAACAGGAACTAATCAGTTTTTTGTTGCTTTTTTTTCCTTGCAGTTAATAGGCCTACTAAAGAAAAGCTGCCAGTTATTTTTTTTCCTTCAAAAGCTAAAGATCTTTTTTTTTACATAGACACATATAATGCATATATATTTGGATGATAAATTTTAGTAAAGATGTTCATTTGAAGTGAAATGATGAAAGACTCTAAGATATGTAAATGTGTGCTGCATCACAGTTTCTCTTTTGCTGGTATCCATACGGTTGGACCCCCCTGGTCATGGATGATCTCTTTCACTTTGTTGTAGATTTCTTCAGGCGTGTCACCCTGAACAACAGCTGCAATAAGAAAACTTGCTTAAGGATACTCTACAAAAAAACTGTTCATCATAGGAAATAATGCTTTTATAGCAATTATAATTATTGTGAGTGTGTAACAGTTATTTGTAACTTTTGGGATCTATTTTTTTTTAAATATATTCCAAAAGTTACACAAATTCTGCTTCCTCACGTCTCGTAAAAGATTCAAAAACTAAGAAAAATCTATTGTCTTTAGTAGTTTTTGATAAGGTGGGAAAAATCTCCAAATAAATCAAAATAAAATAAGCTGTTTAAATACCTTTGTGAAGCAGAGCTATAATTTTAGCTTTTTATAAATAAATAAATATATACATGCATATATATACATACATATATATATGGGTGATTCTCACGAAACATGACATTCACTGTCCCTTGCTCCAAGATCTAATACTAAAAGGACATTTTTTAAAAAAAAATTAATAAATAGCATTGCTGTTAGCATTTTAAAATGACTTTGCACTAGCATTGACTGTTTCGTATACTTAAAAAATTTAATTGAATATCAAAATGTCATTTTCCTGGCATGTACCAAGCAATATTTCCAGTAATAACTAGCTTCAAAACTTCCCATACATTATTCAAAATCTAATTTTTTTTTATCTTATCCTACGTAAGCATTTCTAGAATATACGCAGAGGGTATTGTTTACTAAAACTTCGTTTAAAATAATTTTTTCAGTCAATAATTTGTTTGTCCCATGAAAATCTGTCATTTTCCTGGCTACTTTTATTTAGTGATTTATAACCAAAATAGATAGCGCCAGNTATATATATATATATATATATATATATATATATATATATATATATATATATATATATATATATATATATATATATATATATATATATATATATATATATATATATATATATATATATATATATATATATATATATATATATATATATATATATATATATATATATATATATATATATATATATATATATATATATATATATATATATATATATATATATATATATATATATATATATATATATATATATATATATATATATATATATATATATATATATATATATATATATATATATATATATATATATATATATATATATATATATATATATATATATATATATATATATATATATATATATATATATATATATATATATATATATATATATATATATATATATATATATATATATATATATATATATATATATATATATATATATATATATATATATATATATATATATATATATATATATATATATATATATATATATATATATATATATATATATATATATATATATATATATATATATATATATATATATATATATATATATATATATATATATATATATATATATATATATATATATATATATATATATATATATATATATATATATATATATATATATATATATATATATATATATATATATATATATATATATATATATATATATATATATATATATATATATATATATATATATATATATATATATATATATATATATATATATATATATATATATATATATATATATATATATATATATATATATATATATATATATATATATATATATATATATATATATATATATATATATATATATATATATATATATATATATATATATATATATATATATATATATATATATATATATATATATATATATATATATATATATATATATATATATATATATATATATATATATATATATATATATATATATATATATATATATATATATATATATATATATATATATATATATATATATATATATATATATATATATATATATATATATATATATATATATATATATATATATATATATATATATATATATATATATATATATATATATATATATATATATATATATATATATATATATATATATATATATATATATATATATATATATATATATATATATATATATATATATATATATATATATATATATATATATATATATATATATATATATATATATATATATATATATATATATATATATATATATATATATATATATATATATATATATATATATATATATATATATATATATATATATATATATATATATATATATATATATATATATATATATATATATATATATATATATATATATATATATATATATATATATATATATATATATATATATATATATATATATATATATATATATATATATATATATATATATATATATATATATATATATATATATATATATATATATATATATATATATATATATATATATATATATATATATATATATATATATATATATATATATATATATATATATATATATATATATATATATATATATATATATATATATATATATATATATATATATATATATATATATATATATATATATATATATATATATATATATATATATATATATATATATATATATATATATATATATATATATATATATATATATATATATATATATATATATATATATATATATATATATATATATATATATATATATATATATATATATATATATATATATATATATATATATATATATATATATATATATATATATATATATATATATATATATATATATATATATATATATATATATATATATATATATATATATATATATATATATATATATATATATATATATATATATATATATATATATATATATATATATATATATATATATATATATATATATATATATATATATATATATATATATATATATATATATATATATATATATATATATATATATATATATATATATATATATATATATATATATATATATATATATATATATATATATATATATATATATATATATATATATATATATATATATATATATATATATATATATATATATATATATATATATATATATATATATATATATATATATATATATATATATATATATATATATATATATATATATATATATATATATATATATATATATATATATATATATATATATATATATATATATATATATATATATATATATATATATATATATATATATATATATATATATATATATATATATATATATATATATATATATATATATATATATATATATATATATATATATATATATATATATATATATATATATATATATATATATATATATATATATATATATATATATATATATATATATATATATATATATATATATATATATATATATATATATATATATATATATATATATATATATATATATATATATATATATATATATATATATATATATATATATATATATATATATATATATATATATATATATATATATATATATATATATATATATATATATATATATATATATATATATATATATATATATATATATATATATATATATATATATATATATATATATATATATATATATATATATATATATATATATATATATATATATATATATATATATATATATATATATATATATATATATATATATATATATATATATATATATATATATATATATATATATATATATATATATATATATATATATATATATATATATATATATATATATATATATATATATATATATATATATATATATATATATATATATATATATATATATATATATATATATATATATATATATATATATATATATATATATATATATATATATATATATATATATATATATATATATATATATATATATATATATATAGACAAATAATTTAAATATTCTAAAAAATAATTTTTTTAAAGAAAATACTAAATTGGCAAGATTTTTACCCCATATCAATGAATAATTCTCAATTATGTTTTATTTGTTTGTAGGCCCAGGTAATTTAGTGCTAAGATTCACTTTTCAAATATGAAAAATTGCCTAACTTTTTTTTTTTGATTGATGTTTTGTACTATTTCTAGAATTAGCATAGCTGGTGCTGGCTAAAGACAGGCTAAACTTGATCAAAGTAAGAATGAATAAGTGTCACAAATTTAAAGCTGTTATAAAAATAACAAACAAATTACAAAAAACCTCGCACCTTTCGTAGACAATTTTACTGTACGACAACATCTATATTATTTTACCTACAGTAAGTTGCAATATTGCTGTACTATTTTATAATAAGCAGCTACATAACTTACATATAGATTTAGACTTATTTATAACGTTTGCACACTTTAACACATCCGTATTTTCCTCTGACTTTCTCTCCAATAAAAGTTTTGTTTTGAATTTTTGTTTAGAAAAAAATTATAAATGAATGATTTGTAATAGATTTTTTTCTTCTTTTTGTTCCATCAAACCACAATGGGAGGGTAAGGAGGTCATAGAAAAAGGAAACAAAGGAAGAAACTAACACCTACACCACCTGTTTGGTTCAATATACAGTCTTTATTTTTACCCTCTCCTTCCTCACCCAATCACCCTTTCCCCCCATCTGATTTGCATCCACTCTAGGCATTATGTTTCTCATACCTTTCCATCTTTCAAGAAAATCTGTCACCTCCCTAATTCTTAATTATATATATATAAAACAGAAGAAAAAAAAACAGAAAAACTTACAGAATGAAAAGAAAAATTATTGAAATAAAATAACAATAAAATTTTTTTTAAATATATCTATAAATAAATAAAAATTCAGGGAAAAAAAGATAAAATCTCTTCATCATCTCACACAGTGATTATATCCACAAAAAGTACTTTCTAATATTGAATCAATACAGCCAAAGCAAAATATATCAATACAATAGTGTGAGGAGCACTCAAAAAACTTCTTTTTTAATGTTACTTTATTTTAATAATTTTTCTTCTTGTCATTATTCTATCATTTTTTCCATGTTTTCTCTACATTTTGAACTTATTTTATGAGTTCTACATAATTGCAGCTTATACGCAGTAAATAAAACCTATCAATTTTCTTCTTTTTTTTCTCTTTACCTTTTTGTATTTATTTATTGTACTATATTATATATATATATNAATGTAACTTTATTTTAATAATTTTTCTTCTTGTCATTATTCTGTCATTTTTTCCATGTTTTCTCTACATTTTGAACTTATTTTATGAGTTCTACATACTTGCAGCTTATGCGCAGTAAATAAAACCTATCAATTTTCTTCTTTTTTTTCTCTTTACTTTTTTGTATTTATTTATTGTACTATATTTTATATATATATATTGATTTCTGGAGGTTGCGTTTAAGCTCCAGGGTACCCTAGCCAAACCCTGACTTTATTAAATAATAATTTAGGGTAAAAAATACTATCATTTTAAACTTTCTTTTACAACTGCTTAAATTGAACAAACATAGTAATTTAAAGTAAAGAGTTGAAGTACCCGTGAAATATTCTCCAAATTCTTGTTCCAATTTCAAAGCTCTCTCATAAGCCTTTAAAGCTGCCATTTCTGTGATGCGTTTATTCATTTCTCTGAAACCATAATGAACACATTTTTTTAAAAAAATTCCTTCAAATAAATCAATAAAAAAAAGACAAAAAGAAATAGAAACTCACATGACTGATTCGGCTGATTTTGGCTTAATTAAAATAGCAATTGGATGAAGGCCAGCAACTTGCAGTCGTTTTATCGCATTCCCGCTTACATCCAATATGCAATGCTTTGCCTATAAATTAAAAACATTACATTCGCTATTTCTATCAATTATAATGCACAATATAGTAGATATAATTCATTTAAACATAAAAAATTCAAAATTTGCAAGATGCAATTTTTGCTTACACAAATACAGATTTTCTTCTGCCTTCTAAAAAATTAAGAATAAGGGGAAAAAATAATGCAAGAGTTTGATTCATTTTTATATTTAAAGAAAATATTAGAATAAAAAGTTTTTCTTAAAATATTCTGATTTGTGAAAGGAAATAAAATACATAGCTAAAAAATTAAAACATTATGGCTTTTAGTTAAATAAAGATAACTTAATATATTTGAACGGGAAGTGTTTAAAAAATACATTGAAAATCTTAAAGACAAAACATTGATGGAGAATAAAAGCAAAAAATAATGCTGCATGCATTACAAGTAATAATGCTTGTATAACAAAGAATAAAATTAAAACAATAATTTCTTTCAGTCCCACAGTGGACACAGAAGTCAAGCATCACTGGGTGTTTTGAATTATTCTGTAAACTCATCAAAATAACTGAATGACAGTGATGAAAATATTAGAAGGATAAAAAAAAAAAAAAAAAAAAAAAAAAAAAAAAAAAAAAAAAAAAAAAAAAGATTCTAAAATTGTGTGCAATTAATTTTTAAATAAATGGCTTTGTTAGGCTCCTGAATGTACAGCATATGCCTTTTAAACACAAGGTGCAGTGATTCGGTTAGACTTTGGAAAATGAGTCCTCAGCAAACAGTAATTCTCTATTTCTGGGTATTTTTTTTTACTATAGAGGGTCCTTATTTAAAATATAAATCCCTACTTGAAAAACATATATAAAAAGACAAATATATAAAAACATTTTATGATTAGGAAAAAAATATGATTAGTACAGGGTAGTTGTTATAATTTTAATTTAGTTTGGCATGCTCTGGTTCACAAACGTCTTTTGACATTTTATTCTTCCCTTTTTGTGATAGAGAACCAAGTGTCATCATTTTTTCCTTGTCCCCCATGGAATTTTCAACGTACTCGACGAGGTATAACACATAAGCAGAATCATTGCACTTCTATTATAGATTTAGTTTCATAGTAATTATAAACAGAGGTAAAAATGTTCTATGCTTGACCCTATAATGTATCACTCATTTGTTTTTCTAACCAATATAAATTATTAAGCACATCACACTATTCAAACTTATTTTGTGGATATGCTCACTCAATTAATTTCATGATAAAACCAAAATATTCTATTAAATTAAGAAATAATTAAGGACAAATCGTCCTGATGATTCTATAAATTATTCCTCCAAACATATTTTCAACAATGATGCAATAATTTTGTGGACATGCTTATCATTTAATTTGATGATAAAACCAAAATATTCTATTAAATTAAGAAATAATCGAGGACAAATTGCCCTGATGATTTTATAAATGAATCCTCCAAACATATTTTTAACAATGATGCGTTGACTCACTTTCTCGGCAACTTCCCTGACAGAGGCGACGCTGGTACCGTATAGATTCTCATTATACTGACCAGCTTCTATGAACATGTGATTCTGGATGTCTCTCTCCATTTGTTCTCTGGATGCAACAAAGTGATAGTCTCTACCGTCCACCTCATAATCCCTCTTGGGACGCGTCGTGTCTGCAAATAAAACATTTATTTTACAATAGAAAAGACAAATTGATAAAAAGAAAGTAATCAATTCTTAGTTACAATTCATTCAATGCAGATGAGGTATGAAAAATATTCCACATTGAACTGTATTTTCCCCTTACTTTATTCAATTCCTACTATTAGCTTACAACTCATCGCTTTGAAACTAAACCGTGGTAAATCAAAAAAGCAAGTTTTTCAGGAGAGCGATTTCTAACTTTTCAAGACGAATCGCACCAATGCGATAACGATTTATCTGCTCTCTAAATTTATTTTATGGAACTTATGAAGATAACATGTTGTTTCTCTAAAAGGGTGATTTTTTTTAACACAAAATGACCCAAATATATAATTTTTCGATTTTTTTGAGTTACTACGGTTTAGTTTCAAAGCGACGAACTCTAACTACATATATTTCTATATCTTGTTCAAATTTTCAATTGTTCATAAAATACTTTTTATTGATCCACTCAAGTTCAAATATATTTTTTTTAATGCATGTAATGGATAACACTTGATGTTAATACAGTTTTTTCAAATATTAATTCATTCATTAAATTTAATTAATCTTAGTTTTACGTGGGAGAAAAAAAATTTCCTTTGTTGAATTGACTTTTTTGTTACTTGCATTATCAGCCATTAATTAAACTTATTTTGCAGATTTGTTTACTAAATTAATTTGATGATAAAACCAAAATATTCTATTAAATTAAAAAATAAACATCTGAATATCATAAATACAAGGAACAAACATTATAGAAGTTATGTTTAAGGATCCTCTTCAAACAAAAAATAGGGATTTTACGCTCACCATGTTAACTTACAAATAAGTATTAATAAGTTCAGAATCCAATTTATCAGTTATGAATTAGTTTATTCAGCAACTAATAAATACTTTTGAAAAATATTTTGCTACACTTTATTTGTATTCTAATTGAAATAAGTTGCTAAATTTCAAATTTAAAAGCAACTTTAAAGCTTGAACTTTGAAAAGTTTTAAAAATATTTCAAACCTAATATCTCAAACACAGTGACTCCATAAATAAAAGCTAAATAAAAATTATTCAAAAATATTAATTGGTTGCTGAATTAGTGGAATCATTGCCCTTTTTTCAGGTTTCAAAAAATCGTGCAAATTTTACAGAAACTGCAAAAATGGATAAGTAGATAGAAACCTCTTAACTTACACAAATACAGATTTTCTTCAGAATTCTAAAAAATTAAGAATAAGGGGAAAAAAATAGAAAATAATTTTTTTTTTTAAAAATCCCTCCAACTATAATTGCACAGTAATCAATAAAATATTTTCCTAATGTTTTTATCCCAGTCACCACTTTGTTACAATTCACAATAAAATAGGTCTAATGTCTGAAAGTAAATTTTATGCTTATTGTCGGAAAATAAGAAAATGCTAGTTTTCAATTAAATATTCGTCATTCTTTAAATCCTTTTGATAAGATTATATAATTATTATTAGTCTTAAAATCATTGAATAAGCACACATGAGAAATTTAGTAATGCTGCAATGAAAATAGTAGATACTTTAACTAATAACTTAAGATTTATAAATTGTAGAAAACTTATTCTTTTAGTATATTGCTAGAAGACACTTAGAGATATCTTGCTTCTTTTTGTTTAACCCTCCTAACTTTTTTGTTAACACAAATGTTGAAGAAAGGCAACAATGGACAAAATTATTTTAATAGCTAGTGATTGCGCTAGACTGGAAATTACTGATTCTTAAGACCCAGCACTTCGACATTTCAAAGAATTTCAAAACAAAGAGATATTTGCACTATCGAGGTATTAATTGGGACTGTTTAAAAACCAGCATCAATTATAACAATAATTACTCTTTCTTTTATAAACTGAATATTTTGAATAACAATTTTAAGAAATAAGTGTGAAATAGAGTCATTCTCAGAATATTATAAAATTACTAAAGTTCAGATGGGGTGCATAAGCAACGAAAAGAAGTTTCAATTAGGTGGCAATTAGCGGAACAAATTTTTTAATCGCCGTTTTTTACACTTAGTTCTCCTGTGGCCAATGGTGACCATTAATTCTGACTTATACAGTTAAGATATTTCTCAAAAATATAAAAGATAACCATTGAAATTTTTAAGGAACTCTGAATCGGAAAATAGTGGAATCCATACTATATCCCACTTTGAAGTTTTATTTCATCAATCAGTCTGTTATTCGATATAAGGAGTAAATAAGTAAATGAATTGAAATCAAATAAACAACAACAAAATAAGAGCCGAATTTTTTTTTAAAAAAAATAACCAACTTACGAGGAACACAGCTGCCAAATTTTTCAGGATATTCAGAAATCAGGTCATCATTAATTCTGTCTTTCAATGGTCCAAGTATAATGACAGGCCTTGCATAGGTAACTGAAATTATAAGAAATAAACGAGGTCAGCAGACATGCTTGGACAGTGTTCAACATTAGATCAGAGAGAAATATTAAAAATGTGATTACAATTATTTAAAAAATTTACATCTAAAAATAAATAAATCAGAAGAATAATAAGTTACCAAGATGGAAGAATTTTCTCAAAATTAGGAAAATTACATCATTTATTGTTATCTTAGTAACAACCTTTCATCAAAAACACTAATTAACTTTTTTTTTTAAATAACATAAATATTATTATTAATAAAATGATGACAAATGATAACTATAAATATCAACAGATATCATTATTATTAAGTGAGTTACAGTAAACCATATATATAAAGCAATTCCATAAACTGCAACTTTCCGCAAACAACATTAACTTTTGCAGGTGCAAACAATCAAAATTGCAGTTAAATTTTTTATCTAACTAGGCATGAACTATTAACTTTTTAAATGCTTTTTTTTTTAAAATTATTTATCAAGCAGATACAATTTTTTCCTGTAATTACTTAGTGCATTATTTTTCATTTTAATTTATTTATTAATTTATTTATTTTTAATTTATATTATTTATTTATTAAAATTTTTTTTTGACGCGTTTTATGATTCATCTGATCTAGACTAATATTGCCACCATGTTTAGTAGATAAGTTTAAAGGTAAGTGAAATGATCTACATAACACAAAATTTATAAAATGCAAAGCCTGACATTTCAAGTTTTGTATCATAAAGATTTTTTACAGTAAAATAGATACGTTATGCTCTAAAGATATGTTATTTATGTTAATGAATAAAGATATGTGAAATGATCTATTTAACACAAAATAGAAAAAACATGAAGCCTCACATTTCAAGTTTTGCATCTTAAAAAATTTTAATCTAGTGAAATGATCTATAACAGTGCTATCTTTTTATTGCCGTGGCTAATGGCTGATAATTTTACCCACTGCGGGAGGGAGGGGCCATGATTGTTTATATTTAAGATAGTTTTGATTTAATAATTTTAATTGAATTGCATCTAAACATGCTCTCAAAATAAAGTACAATTACATTGATGTGAATTTAGTTGAAGTCTTACAGCTCCCGGTTAACCTCTCATCCATGGAGAGTCACAGAAAAACGAGAGAAATGCACCACAGTAATTAAAATGGAAATAATTTAATATTTTTTGGGAGGTTGACCATTTGAATCGTTGACTGGTCTGTGGCTCGGTTGGAGATCACTGATTTACAAAATCTATAAAAAGGCAAAGTTTTACATTTCAAGTTTTCATCATATAGATTTTTACTTCAAATTAAACAATTTATGCTTATTTTAAATAAATTAAGTAATTTATGTAAATTAAATAAATTGTGCTCTAAAAAATAAATAAATTGAATTTTATGTTAAAAATTTTATGCTATAGTAAGATTTTTTAGCTTCAAGCTTTAGCTTTCGTAAGATTTCTGAGCTTTTTAGCTCCAAAACTCTACATTTTCAATCAATCATCATCATCATCATAGTTGGCCAGACAGCCCAATGTGAGCCAATGCCTTCCTCTGCAGATTTCTCCATGATGACTTCTGATTTCTCTTTGATCTCCAATTCTTTTCATTAATTGTGAGAAAATCTGACTCCACTGAGTTAGCCCATCACAACCGCGGCCCTCCCCGCTTTTTTTCTTCTCCAGTGGGTCTAAAAAGCAGTATCTTTTTTAATGTGTTGTCGTCACTCATTCGAATCACGTGGGCGATCCAATTCATTCTACTTATTTTTGTGCATTTAATAATATCAGGTTTATAAATCTTGTACAGTTCAAAGTTAAATTTCTTTCTCTAGCTATTGTTTTCATTTACACCACCAAGTATAACCCGGAAAATCTTTCTCTCAAATATTGCAATACAATTTTCCTTCAGTTTTGTCATTGTCCACGCTTCAGAAGCATATGTCAAGACTGGCCGGACAAGAGTTTTGTCGATTAAGAGCTTTGTTTTTCTAGAAAGAAACCTAGATTTAATAAATCTTTTCAGCCCATAGACAGCCCTATTTGCCAGATAGAGTTAGTTTTTTATTTCAGGAGTAATTAATTCTTTTGTCAAAGGTCTACATTTTCAATATACATTTAAAAAATTTTTTTTGAAATTTAACACTATGGCAAGAAGGATGAGAAAAACCATACAAACTCACTTTTTTCCTGAGTTACAGCCTCATATGAAAGGATGGGTTCGTCGGGGCCACCTGTAAAATTTTGTTAAAAATTTAGTTAACAATAAAAATAGAGCTAAGTATAGAATTAAACAATGGAAAAAAGACTAACGTATGCTGCCACCTTCACTATCACTGGCAGATATATTTGGGGCTTCTGAAATAGAAAAAAAGTGAAAGAGGTTTAAACGATCATTTTGAAAACAAAATAAAATATGTTTTTAAAAAAAGATCAAAAGTGAGTTTTTATTTTAACTTTACTGTTTAAAAAAAAATACAAAATATTGCTAAATATTATTATATCACTAAATGTTTAATAGGTAACACATTTTTGACAGTTCTGTAAAATATTTATTAAATAAATAATGAAATGAAGAAAATGCAATAATGGAATTATAAGTCTTGAAGTGAAATAATGACAAACAATAAATTTTCAGTTTTGAAATTAAATTAATATTCATCCAGGTATATTTTCATATAATAAGCTTTTACATATATTTCTATTAATAAAAAATATCTGGAAAAAAAATACTAAGATGCTCATAACATATATTAGATATTTTTTATTGTATCTTTCAAACTCTCTACTTTTATCAGCAAGTGTGAGAAAAGAACGAAAAGTTTGAATAAACTCAAAATAAATATAAAAAAACATTTGAAACTACCGTGCACTAAAAATTTTCTATTTTATTTCGTTTTTACTTTTTTTTTTCACTATTTGTGTGTACACAGACAGTCTATAAAACTGTTAGGCTCAATATGATTAAAATGAATAAAATAAAAATGAAGTTTAGAAAAATCACATGCCTGTTTTATTTCATAATAAGACACACATAGGAATTTAAAGTCTAAGAAGCCTGCTAAAGGTCGCAGACCTGTTAGTTTTTTAGATCTTTATTTAAATTAATAAAAAAATGTTTAACTCTAAAAAACTTTTGCCATAAATTAGGCAATGAATTATGTTAAAAATTAAAAGACTTGCAATAGTAATTCTTATCATTTAAAATTTTTTTTTTGTTAAGAATTATCATTATAAAAGTCTTGTCTCCATTGTACACATGTTAAATCAAAATTACCTATTTTATTTTTTTAATTTAGAAAATAAGTCATAACTTTTTGAAAGATATATATTTTTCTCACTAATAATAAAAAAAAAAAAAAAAAAAAAACTTAGGTGACCCGTGAAAGAGTATCCAAAATCAAAATTAAACAACTCTGTAAAAATTGGCCATGAAAAGATAAAATAATAGTATATGGATAAAAACTTTATACACAACTTTTGAAAAATAGTTACAAAAGGTGATAAGATTTAAATTAAAATCAATGCTGAAATGAGTAAGAAAGCAGTGCCTTGTTGCAAAGGAGCGATTTAACCAGCAATTTGCAAGAACCAGAAACAATAGAATACATAACATAATTAGGGATTTTGCTCTTTTCATATTTTTATGGTGGAATTAGATGCTGTTGAACATTTCTATATGGACTTTCTATTACTACAAAGCAACTAAAGTATCTGACTTAAAATGGTTTCTTTTGAAACTACAACAAAAATTATGTCTGAAATTTTTACAGCTTTTTCCCCCATATATTTCATTCTGTTACCGTTAATTGATTTAGAGTTACGTAATTTTAAAATTGGGTACTCTGCAATTGGACATTTTGAATACACATTAGAATCGCCAAAGATTTCCAAGAACTGATAAAATACTTCACAAACAAAAGTCAAATGAAACAAAAAAAAAAAAAAAAAAAACTGATCATGCTAATAGCATAAAAAAAAAAAAGTTTTAACAGACATTCTCAGAAAATTTATTTAAATATTAACAGATATAGTTATTTAAAAGCATTCCCAGAGAGTTATGAATAAAAGTTGACATGCATGTGAAACCCAATATATTTTAATTAAATTAAACTAACCTTTGGTGGGGGAGCCATCCACTAGAATTATCAGAAAATATTATATTAATAAATCGTATTGTAAAGTTGTATAAATACATGTATAGAGTAACTTAATTACAATAAGAACACAATCCTATCAGTATAGTATTATTTATTTTATATATATATATATATATATAGCAATATTTTTTGTTGTAAGTGACATGATTTTAACAAGTACAGTAGGGAACCGATTATCCGGAACGATCGGTACCATCGCTATTCCGGATAACTGATTTTTCCGGTTTTCTGAATCGCTACAAAAGGCAGTTTTTTTATTGTTAAACCCAACTAAAAAAAGAAAAATATTGGAAATAATCTTAAAAAGGAGAAAAAACGATGAAGTAATACACTAATAATTATTTCCAAAATGATGGTAAGGTAAGCATCTTTCAAAAATGAAAGAAAAATCCTAAAATCTTATGAGGAAAAAGAAATTTTCTTTTTTTTAAATGGTGGGAAAATTTATTGAATTTCGTTCCGGTTTTTTGGTTTTCCGGTTTTCTGATTTCCGGATAACGGGTTCTGTACTGTACAACAAATAGGTGCAATCATTTACACCAGATCTAGTTATATAATATTTTTTATGTATAAAAACAAAACTTTATCTTTTACAATGTTCATGAGAAACTGGACAAGATTTTGTGTTGCCTGTTACAAAAATGGCAATTAGTTTCTTAAAAAAATAACACAATGTATTTTGTAATTCCATGCCAATTTTAATTATAAACTTTTTGTCACTGAAATTTCTTAAAACGATTCTAAAGAAATGTTTTACTTTGTCTAAGCAGAAAAATAGTTTTCCAATATTACAGATGAAGAGATAAAGTTTTAAGTACATTATGAACATTATTTATGAAGGGAAAAAAAATATGCTTACGTTCATTGTCACTGTCATCTCCACTGTTTTCTTTACTTTTCATGAACGGAAATTTACGGGAGAAAGAAAAGTTTTTCTTTTTCCTTTCTAACGTACTCTGGATAAAATAAAATATGCATCAGTCAAGATTAGTAAGTATTTTGAATTGCATATTTTTTTTATAATTATTCTATACAATAAAAGTCAATAAAAATACAAATATCTACAAAAATGCAATTAATTTTAATTTTAAATGTACTATTAAGTTTTTTCTTCTCTTCATTAATCCAAGTCCCTGTCTGCATTTTACAACTAACACCAGTTGATTAATAGCAAATATTTTAATAAAATAATATGATAAGTATTTAAATAAATTTTAATAACTGATCATATAAATCAATTAGATTTGAAATAATAAGATATGTATAAAATAGCAATCATTATGCAGTTCTCATAAAAAAATTTCGCTCAAATTTTACATAAAACCGTTTATCAATTTGTAAGAATGCAGCCTTCTTTGATGATATCTCAAAATTGAAAGTAATTACAAAAAGTAAATTAAAGAAACTAAAAAAGTATGCTTGGATATAGATTTTCTTTCCAATATAAATTTATAATTTTAACTTTAACAGGATATTCTGCAAATGAAAGGAACTTTTCTTTTTAAAACTAAAATTATAAAAAAAATTGTCTTAGAATCGTATTTTAAATTTCATGGACCCTAATATTGAAAAAGTATCTTTAAATTCAGCTAAATACAGACATAACACAAAAAAAGCAAAGTACTTAATAAAAGTACTGAATTTAAATACAAAAAAGTAATATAGCACTACAATGATGTTGTTAAAACCAAACTAGAGTTGATATTAGTAAGTGATATTGAGTGATACTAAGTGATACTCATTGTTGATTGATATTTTGAAAAACAAATTCAAAATGAATTCTTTTTAAAGACTGTTTGTAAAAGGTTCTTTTCTCATATGAACACATCACAGCAAATAATATTCTATTTTCATAACTGTCTATAACAGTTATTTATAACTGCAAAATTTATTTCAATACTCTTAAATAAATAATAAAATTAAATAAAATTTGAATACTAAGAAATTCTAAAAAAATTTTAAAAATGAAACCAATCTTTTTAATATAAGAAAATTGCTTCATCACTGCATTATCTGAGCCTATTTAAAAGTATACAAAAAATAAAATCCATTGATTCTATTCTTTTTTGGGAAAAATTGATTTTAAATTTTTATTATTTATTCAATTTTTTTTTTTTTTTTGGAAAAAGGTTAATGATTTACTACAAATTTTTAATATATTTTCTCTTGAGTTGTGTAAATTTTTTTCAGCAAAGATATTATGTGCAGCATAAAAATAAAATTCAAATTTATGGCATACAAACTGTAACATTAAGAAATGCGCTATTTTGGTTAATAATAACAAAACTCACTTTTCCATCTGAGAAACTATTTCTTCCTTGGAACTTGACAGATTTTAGTCTAGCTTTTTCCCTTCTTTCTACCCTGAAATGATAATGAAAAAAAAAGTTTCAAAATATGGAAGAATTTAAACAAGATAAAATGTAACAAATAGAGTTAAGCTCCAAATATTTATACTACATATTAAGATTACCAATTTTCAGGATTATATTGACAGAAAAAAAGATAACTTATGAATGGTTTATAGAAAAGTAAACAGATAAGCTGGAATTTGAATATCACAATTCTTAGCACACTAAATAGTTTGAGATACAATAAAAACTCCCCATTATCTTAACTTCATATCAAAATACTTCTTGAAGTTTGTTCTAAAGTAGGATTGCATAACCTGCAGCTTGTACACAACAGTGTGGAGCATGGCGGCACCTGAACATAATACAAAAAGCTACCATATTTTTTCCTTTTTTAAAATAAAAAATCAGAAATTTTGAATTCCGCATTTTAATTTTTGATGCGCAGAATCTAAATTAGTGTAGTTTCTGGATCGCCTCTTCCAATGGATTCACTACAAATTTCCTAAGTTGTAAAAATTTTGATAATTTCAACACTGAAATTTTTGTATAATGTGTTTGCTTTATTTTAAATAATTTACAAAAAAAAACTCTTTATTAAAATACTCTATTAATTTTTTAAAATTTTAATTCCTGAACATTATAGTTAATTTATTTTAAAATAAACTTTTACGTCAGTTAATGTGATAAAAACACCATAATTTTCCCCCATTGTTATATATTTTTTCGACAAATCTACTTGATAATTTTTTTTAAAAAACTATCAGTTCGGTATTCTTTAGTTTTTAATGAATTTTATTATTTAGAAAAATTTTATTTTAAGTTGATTGATTAAAAGTTTAAAGCACTGAAAATTGCATAAAAATTATGAAAATTGCTGCCAATATGTTCCTGTATATTCAGCAGATACATAAACACTTAGTCAAGAAAATGCAAGCTAGTGACCATCAAAAATTTCTTATTGAAGTGTTCAAAACAAGACCAAAGAATGACTTAATGGTTCTCTACTTACAAGTTTTTAACAACTTGAACTAAAATGGATTTTTTTAATACTTTCAAAGGAAATGACATTTTAATTTGTCATTTTTATTCTGAGAACTGAACAAAATTTATATTATAGAAGTTTTAAGAAAACTTGCTCATTAAATCAGAGTTAGGCTCGCAATATAAAAGTTTTTATTAACAATTTGAAACCAACACTTTATTATTCTTGCTAAGCTTTGGATCCCGGTTCAGGAGTTTGGTTGAGGAAAATTCTTTAACTGCTTTTGGCTAAGCATGGTGAGAAGATGAATTCCCATTTACAATTTATTTTAATTTTCAGAGATGAAAGTGAATAAGAAAGATCAATCATTCAAGTGTTTGGCACATCATACTAAATCATACATACACAACTGTTTATACATCAGTGTTTGGCACATCATACATACACAACTGTTTATAGGCTGGACCCATTCATAGATCGTAATCTTGACCTGAACCAGAGTATGCTCCATCTCCAATTTGATATGAGAATATGGAGAACTTTGTGACCCAACAGATTTAACGTTCACCAGTCACCATTTCCTGCGAGGGAAGTCGTCGGTCGGGTGGATTCGAACCAGGGTGGCCACTCAAATCAGATTTAAAATTTCCCTGATTTTTTCAGGTTTTCCAGGTAAAAATCTTAAAATTTCCAGGTCCGTGTTTTGTTTTTTTCTTATAAAGTGTAGGATGTGTACAAGAAAAGTGTCTATATTATAAAATATTTCATTCAAAATGTAATTTTTTTTAAACATATCTTGAAATTTTTTTTTTTATTCAAAACTGCGTGAAATATTTTAAAAACAAAGCAAAAGTTAATTTTTTAGAAATCAATAATCAAACAGTAACAAAAATTTTACACAACGAAAGTCATTGCACAGTTGAATGTCAGTGCACAGTTGAATTGCACAGTCATTGAACAGTTGATTTCAGAAAAAAAATTATCATCAATTGCTTTAATTTTCTTATTCAATTATTTTTCATTTAATTTCTTGTTTATTTATCTGCAATTTAGAATCAAACTTATGATAGCAAAATTATATTTTAATTTTTGCTAGCTAATTCCGTAATATTTTATTTTATCATTTAAAAACGTCTTGCGGTCGTAATAAAACAATAGACCAAATTTGATTATTTCTCATCATAAGAGGTAAATCAGCAACATGTTAAATTAGTTTATTGTGTCCTATTGCACTGTGCAATAGGTGATAAAATGCTTAAAAGAAGGACTTCATATCAGATATTAAAATTATAAAATTTGCGGAAAAATTCATAAATTCGCAATTGAGTGTTGTAAAAGTTTCTGTAAAATTTTTAAAAAAATATTCTGCACGAATTTCACCTGACTAAAAAAAACTAGTTACATATATTTAAAAGCTTATAAAAGCTACTGGAGATGCGAAAGGAAACTCTACTAAATGTTAATTTAATGAAAAATTAGATTATTTACTAATAGACAGAGTTGCTTTTTTTTTTTTTTAAAGTGTACGATGACTTTTGAGGGATAAAGTTTTTGATGATTGATTTCTAACAAATAAACTTTTCCTTTGTTTTTAAAATATTTCATACAGTTTTGTTATGATTAGAATACATTTTTTATAATTAAATATCCATTCTGAATTATTCATTTTAATTAATGGATGTCTTATTTCATCACTTTTGTGAGTCACTGTAATTACATTTCAATATAAAGCTGTACTGTATACTGCACTATACCGTATTTTTTCTTACCAGTGCATTTTATAAAATTCATTGATCAGATTTTCTTTAAACCAATATCTCTAGTCAAATTTTTAAATGATGTTGTTTTGAATTAGCATTATTTTAAGAGATTCAGTATACAAAAATAAATGCCACAAATGTAAAATTGTCTAATTTTTTGTTCTATACTCTATAAAAAAAAAAAAATAGATAAAATTTCTTAACTTTTATACTTTTTTGATTTTTTTCCTTATTTGAAATTAAAACATTTAAAGAATTCCAATCTAAACACACAGTTTTTTAGTTTAGCATAGTTAATTATTTTTGTTTTCACNCTTTTGTGAGTCACTGTAATTACATTTCAATATAAAGCTGTACTGTATACTGCATTATACTGTATTTTTCCTTACCAGTGCATTTTATAAAATTCATTGATCAGATTTTCTTTAAACCAATATCTCAAGTCAAATTTTTAAATGATGTTGTTTTGAATTAGCATTATTATTTTAAGAGATTCAGTATACAAAAATAAATGCCACAAATGTAAAATTGTCTAATTTTTTGTTCTATACTCTATAAAAAAAAATAGATAAAATTCCTAAATTTTTATACTTTTTTGATTTTTTTCCTTATTTGAAATTAAAACATTTAAAGAATTCCAATCTAAACACACAGTTTTTTAGTTTAGCATAGTTAATTATTTTTGTTTTCACAACTAGAATCTGGTACAGTGCGCAACTAAAACACAACAAAAGTTTCATTTTCCTTCTTCCAACTAAACACATATGAATTTAAAAAATTTACATTTTATGTTTATACATCATTTAATATGTTTCCTATATATTCCTTAGTCTTTGTCAGCTTTTTAGGGTAAAAAGAGGGATAGTTTTATAAATATCATCTCTGGAATACAAGCAACATTTTCGAACTTTCGATATAGTGATAACTATACAATTCGAATCTTGAATTAAAAATCAAATATTTACCAACACAACAGTAAAATTAAATATTAATAAATAGTTAGTCCTAAAAAAAGAAACCCTTTTTTTAAATTAAAATATGCCATTAAAGGTTAAAATGAAATAGAAAAAATTAGCATTAATGCAACAATTGTAACAATTTGTCAACAAACATTGCTGTTCAGCGATTGTAAAGAAATGAGTGATTTGTTAGTTTGCTGAGAAAAAAAATTTACAGATTTCTTTGAATGGGTGTACAAAAGCTTTCAAAAAAGAGTGCAATATAAAATCTACTATTATTAAATTGTAACCAACTAATTTTTGGAGAATTTTATTCAGATAAAAATACAAAAAATTACCACCAAAGCATTGGAACAAGCTTGAGCCATAAATGGATTCAGACCACGGACAGAATTTTTATACAGAAGCAAATATCCTAACCCCTTTTTCCAGGTCTAGCACAATCTTTGCCTTTCCTAAATTGCACATTCCCATAGTTTCCATAGAGATCAAAGGTTTCTACATTTGTTTAGCAACCATGGGAGAATTTTATATGGCATTCTAGTTTAACAGGGTTATAATGAAGCAAATTTTGATGCAAGCAAAGTATAGCTAAGTTGATGACATTTTAACTGTTCGGAGATACATTTCAGTCTAAAAAATGTGGGTATAATGGATGAAATAATTCAAATTACGAAAATTAGTAAATAATTTAAATTAGTGAAATTAAAAAAATATATAAGAAAAAATTTCCAGCTTTTCTACAAAATTTCCTGATTTTTCCAGGTTTTCATTCAAATTTCCCTGAATTTTTCCAGGCTTTTTCCAGTATGAAAAAATTCCCTGATAATTCCAGGCTTTCCAGGTGGGTGGCCATCCTGTCGAACTCCCTTTCTCACGAACACGAGTCCAGCACCCTGTCGAGCCAAGTAGGCTATCCGGCCCCATACAAGCTTTTTGAAGAGACACTATTGATTTTCAAATTTGTATCAGGTGATCGATGACAGCCACATCCCGTTATAGTCAGCAGCATGATACAGTGGCAATACAGTCACCTCTTACTTTCCAGACAATTGAGAAACCACAAGTTCGCTGCTTCAATCTCCCACAGTGACAGTTCAGTACAATAAACTACTGCATTCTCTAATATATTGAGTTTGACAGCAATTTTTTTCAGACTAGTTAAAATTGTATTTTTAGCCATACATAATTTTTACATGGGTTTGTGTATAAGAATATAAATCGTAACAAGACAATGAGTTTCTCACCTCCTTTTACTTGGGATGATGCCCATACCTTCCTCTTCACCAGTTGGTAAGACTTTTCTGGCCTGCCACCACTCGTCGTCACTCGCATTCGTCACGTGAAGAACATCACCAAATCCGAAGGGAAGTCCTCTGCTTGGTAGTCCACTGTCTTTCGATGGATCATAGTCAAATAATGCTCTAATGGATTAATCAAAAAATGAAACTCAAGATGAAATAATTTAAGCATTAATACGAATTCTGTTAAAGATAACTAAGAAATTCTCTGACATTTAGATAAGCCTAGCTTTAATACTGCCAGATGCAGCCTTGGTGCATCTAATTAAAAGGGAGAAAAGCTTACTGATGTCACAATTAATTACTAATATTATTATTTTCATGCTGTTATTGTTTTTCATAGTTTACTCAGAATTCTCCCTAGAAATAAAAAAAGGGCAAGGCGCTGTCCAGGGTATTTGACCCACCCACAAACCCAAAAAAATCCTTTTTTTTTCTTTAAAAAAACCCACTAAAACCAGGCTCAAATGAGTTTTTAATAAACAATCAAAATCTGTCCTTATAGCAATTGTTATTTTTTATTTGACTTATAAATGTTAATACATAATACACAAATATACATAACCCGACTTTCAAAACTTAGTATATATAGATAAATATGCAAGCAACTTTGAATTAATATAATAATTTTTCTTACTTCAACATTAAGAAAAATAATTTTTTTGAAAAATAATTTGAGTTTTTTTATTTAACTTTTTTTGAACGGAACAGGTGCATTGTACAAACTGGAATAACTTAGTCTTTCTTTTATCTCCTTAATAAATAAGTTTTCATATACCAATAAAATAATTGTATAACTTATATATAAGTATATAGGGGAGTGTCGGGTACCCCCGCCCACTGTCAATTTCATATGTATAGAATATTTTTTCAAGTCAATGGGCCATCGGACATTAATTATTAGATTAAAAAAAGATTATTTTCAAAGTTTCAAGTATTTATGCAGTTGGTTACATGGTAAACAATAGTTTTGAAAATATGTTGAATAAAGTAGGTATGAAATTAAGAAAAATCTGTTGAATTTTGTGATAAAAATGATAAATGAGGTTTATCTATTGTCAATACATTGGTCATTTTCATTTACACCTGAAAAAATATAATTTTTGTAACTGGGCGGGGCTACCCGACACATTTTGAAAAGAGCTGAAAAACATGCTTTTTTAAATTTCTATTTTTTTAAGTTAAATTATTCTTTTTTTGGTTTATTCTTTTTGCATTATTTAATTAGATGATAAAACAATAGAAACATACAAAAATATTGATTATTACTCAATATTATACAGATATATAAGAAATACTCCTTAAGTGGGCGGGGCTACCCGACTCTCCCCTATATAAGTTTAATATAAGTATTATAAAAAAGTGTTAAAAATTGAATTTTTTAATTCTCTTCCAAAGAACATTGTTGTTTTATAAAATATACAAACGAACGGACTAAAACATTATGTTAGTAGTTATATTTCAATGCTACAAAATAATAATTAAAATAATTCATTAAATTTCAAACCATGATAAAATACGGATTAATAAGAAATTAACGTTAACTTATTTCGCATTATAAATTTAATTTAATGAAAGTTTACATATTTGATTAATTATTTCATTCAAATTATTGATCATTGAATTCACAGTAAAATTAATTCTAAATACATAGTTTAAAGAGAAATTCAAAAAACTATTGAGAAATTTTTTAAATAAACAGTAGTTATGTAGTTAGTTGGTCAGCAAAAAATTTACTTAAAAAAAAAAAAAAACTTTAATAACAGAATTTTATTTACAACTATTTTTAAATTACCCATTTGTACTATGGTATGGGTATATTTCAAAAAGTAATTTTCTCTCATTATCAAAATACGAGAAAAACTTGTAGTTTATAAAAATAATTAAAGGCATGCTAGGCAATCTCCTGGAATTTTTATGTTCGAAAAAAAAAAAAGTAAACTAACAAGAAACAATTAATTGATAAACAGCTTGAAAGCTTTATTCTATAATTTAAACTAAAAATTACGAGAAATTAAACTTTTAACGGAGCATTTAAAAAAAATATTTGTTAAAAAAATAGCTTTGAACTCTAAAAAATTTATTAATACCCCCCTCCCCCCAAAAAAATACTTATTCAAATTTAACGAGTTGAGAATAATCCTAGCAAAGTAAATATTTGTATTAATTATCAGAATTAAACCTATAAACACATATAATTTTACCAGTGTGTAATTATTATTTAAACAGTGAATTAATTTTTTAAAAAATGGAATAAGAATAAAAAAGCAGGTTTTTAAGGGATGGACAGCTTATTTTTAGAAAAAGGACAAAGAGGGTGCATTTATAGGCAGACTACTCTTCTAAAAACGCTTAGGGAGAACAATGGCTTACTAAAGCCAATTCCCTTAAGTAAGGTATCCTACTGGGTATGACGCAATTTTTTTAAAAAAATAACTTAATTACTATTTTAACTTTATTTTTTTGGAAGAATAGGTCTTATTATTATTGTTTTAATGCAAATTTAATCAACAAAAGAAATACATTTGTTACATTAAATAAGCACTTTAATTAAATCAAATTATGTAACGTCAGAAATATAAAATGCTTAAAATAAGTTACTTTTTGAAACACAGAGTAACAAAAAATAAAAGGCAAGAGGAACTAAACAGACAGTGTTAATGAGTCTTCAAGTATTTATGTTTCTTGTCCCAATTAAAAGGTGAATAAATGGAAAAGCACACAACATACCTCACGTAAAGAGATCTTTTCTGGGAAGTTCTTAAGCTCCCTGAATTGTTGTTGAGCATCTGCTCTCGCAAGTCATGGATTTTTGCTTCAAATCGATTATACTCTACAAAGGAAAACAAACATCATGTCTTAACATACAGCAAAGTGGAGAAAATATTAATTATTTTTCTTAATGTACAAAACTAACAATTATAGAAGTTTTTTGAAGATCTTTGTTAGATTTTACTATGAAAAATATTTATGCATATTTAAGTGTATATTTATTTAATTGAAAGGCTTGCAGCAGTACATAATAATAAGCCACATTTCTCAAATTATTTGGGACACCATGTTTGGTGAATATCACCATATACTCCATGTAGAGAATAATATGTTTTGTGCATTGTGCTTTTATTTAGAAAAATTCTGGGAACTTGTAAAATTCCTATCAATAGTAAGAAAGATATCCCTTTTGGAATAAGTTTGCCTATAAGTAACAGCTTTAATTATGCTTTTCATAATTGTTTCACTTGCAACAGAATTACTTCTCTAATCATTATTTTCAACATCCGATCTTATTTTTAGCAAAAATTTAAATACTTCCGATTTTGCTAAACATTTTGAAAAACTTAGTAAACTACTGGCGTTTAAGCAAACTTTACTAAAAATAGCTAAAAATACGTAAGAAATTCATAAAATGATTCCATAAAGAAAAGAAAAAAATTATAAATTTAAAATTCTATCCTCGGCGGCCGAAGACTCCCCGTGTAGTAAATGGTGACAAAGCCCTCCATGTTCCCATAACAAACCATACCTCTGGGGGTACTGATTCAGGAGTTTCCTTGTCTTCTGGATTGGTTCAAAATTACAAGTCTACGGAGTTGAACATTAGCAGTCGTAAACCCAAAAATTGGTTCAGCTATTCAACGACCAATATTAAAAAATAAAAAAAAAAATTCTAAAACTATGTAAACCCTTTCGTTAAGAGTGACGAATTTCGCCAGCATCCACGCGATTTCCCGTGTGTACGAGAGCTGTATTAAACCGGCTTCAGCATGATGCCGTTACATAAATACATCTTTTTTAAAAACTGTCAGTCAATATTCCATTGACCTATATTGGATTAATACCACTAAAAGAACATTTTGAATGCGCTCATAAATATGTTTTGCATATCAGAAAAACATTTTCCTTCGGTTCATAGATCAATAGAAGAAAAGGTTTGCAGTGCAAACGAGAAGTGTCACGGGGCATCGACTCTTGCTTTAAAATGTATCACACAGAATTAAATTAATAAGATACATTTCGATTTATAATGCTTGCAATTATCAGCTTACCGACAATACACATTTAGCGGCATCTTTTAAGACTGCCGTAACGAAAAGGTTAAAATAAAAAGCTTTAGTCATTTCTTTATTGAATTAAATCTAAAAAAACAATGAAGCTATTAAGTTTATTAAAACAATTCTTGCGTTTTTTTAAAATTTAGTAATAACCAGAAGAGTAGTTTTGTAGACATTCAGAGGAACGGCGTAAACCCTTTAGTTTTTCAATAAAATCCCATTTTTCCTTCAATTTTGAGATTTTTTTCTTTATTAAACTATTTGCTTACGGTATACCATGTTGTACCATCTTATTGGTCCACATGTTGTACCAGCTGTTAGCAAAAGGTTAATCATAATTTTTGTTCCCCTTGTTTGTTTATCGTAAAATTTCTGTATTATTTTATTCTGTAGTATTTTGTACGCAACAGGAAATTTTAAAAAGTGATAGTAATATTATAACTTTAAGTTAGAATAACCAGATCGTCATGTAAAGTGAAAGCCGGCTTCTTTATAAAAATCTATATCAGTTTTTGATATTATCCATGTGCGTACAATTCCTGTTTATGTACTGTCAAATTCTTTTGCTCTTGTAAGAATGCAGCAAAAGCTCTGTGACACAGCTGATATTTATGGTTTATTTAGCTATGAATTTAAAACAAAATGGGGAAATAAACCTAACTTAAAAAAATTTGCATACGATTTGAAAAAAAAAAAATAAAATTAACAGACGCTAAAAACGAAAGTTTCTTCACAAAAAAAAATTTTTTTGAAGAAATTTTTTTTTCATATAACGTTAGAATTTTTAGCCTTTTTAAAAATGTGCTACTTCATATTGCAACTTATAGCAATTTACACGATGCGTACTTTATTTTCTGTAAAGAAACAACGGAATTTATTATCGCCATTAAAGCTTCAAAAATAACCATAGTCCTGAGACACGTAACGCCAATAAGAAATGCGAAATAATGACGTTAAATATGAAGGTAAAAAACACAATCTCTAATTCGTACAAGAAAATATAATATTTCACTGAAATAATTTAAAGGGGACAACGATATAAATTAATAATAGCGTTATAAAATACGATATAATAAAACATTTAATTTTTGATCGGGATAAATAAAATTAAAACCAAAAATTTCAAATTAAAAAAAAAAAAAAAAAAAAAAAAAAAAAAAAAAAAACAAGATTAACAGTAAGAGTAGCGTCAGATACGTAAAAACACGTTCATCAAATCGGACATATAATTATCGGTATTTTTAGTCAGAGAGAAATACGTATGAAATAGTCAATCACACACACATCATATATATTAAATAAAATAAAACAAAATAAATTGGAATCAATATCAAATTTTAAAAAAAGTCATTTTGGGAAAAAATACAATTAAAAAAAATTAACCGTGAAAGATAATTGAGAATCAGAAATGTAAAATCATAATTTTTCGCATTATGAATAATTCTCAGTTGCTTCATTTTATTAAAAAAAGGGCTTTTTTGTTGACAAATTTTAGAGAAAATATATTGTAAGCAACATAGTTGAAATAATGTTATTATATTAGGTTTTATGACCAATATCGACATACCAGCAATACTGTTATATTTTTTTAAGGTCAAACATTACAATGCTTTATAACTTGGGTCATTAATAATAAATAAAGAGAACATGCAAAGTAAAAAATATAATCCGTTGTAATTTTAAAAATAACTTTCTAAATATCGTCAACAAAAAAAAGAACCTCTACTTTTTTGGAACCTTTAAAAGGCAATTTTTAGTTTCGATAATAAATAAATAAAACGTTATACAGTTACAGCGAACAGTTGCGACTGGAATCAACAGTGGAACATGAAATAATACAGTTGGAAAACCAAGCCATTACTATTGCACAGCATCCATTTCCACCACAGAACATCTTATCAGAAAAGATAGGTTTTACCATCTTATTCGATAAAGTTCCTTACCGCTTCTCTGAACACAATTACCCTTTTAAGATTCCATAGTTCCAAGTGCACCTCAAATAAGATCGATTATATTAAACAGAATCGAAAGGCACACTTTTGAAAAGCTAAATTAAATGAAACGGAAGGAAGTAGTTGAAAATGATGAAACGAGACGGAATTCAATGAAGAAAGTGGCAGATTGTGCTCCTATGGCAACCCTATCAATATTAAGAAGGTAATTTGTCTCGATAACCGAGAACACTTCGTAATCAGGTTTATTAAATCCGATCTACTTGAGAACTAACATTCACGATAACAGGGATATTTCAGACAAAAGGGGAAATACATAAATCTATTCAAAATATAAACTACCGCTTGCCATTTAGTTTTGTTTGATGAAAGAAAATTAACACGATGAAAAAAAATTATATGATATTTTTTGTAAAGGAAAAAAAATGTAACTTTAACGTAAATGAACAAGATGGAAAAAAAGGTATTTTAGTTGTGGAAATAAAGACGTAACTTTATTATTAATTTTATGATTTTTTTAACACCTTTTTTATAGGAAAGAATACAATGTGAACATTCAGTACAATCCTCAATAAGGAGATCAATAAATTCACGAGATTTTATTTTATAAACAGCCGATCCCATTCGGAGTTATCAATGTTCAACTCCGTTGCTTTATAATTTTGAGCCCAATCCAGAAGACAAGGGAACTCCTGAATCAAGCATTGGGGGTAAATTAGCCTTCGTGAAGGACTTTTTTTGTGGAACTAACCCGAATGTCCCACGAGGAGGAAAACCACAAAACCTTCCACGGTTAGTCTGACTGCAAGGAGAATCCTAACCCATGATCAGTCTACGACTGATGATATTTTACGTCAGCACCGTGGTAGAATTCGTATCAACCAGCAACCGCTAGCATTCGAACCTAGATCAACTCATTGGGAGGCTCTATCCCTTAAGCCAGGGATGGGCAAACTACGGCCGGCCAGAAGGTTTTATTTGGATAGAATTTTAACGTGTCCATTCGTGACAAATATAAACAATATACATCCATTTTCTTGTCTACTTTGTTTAAAGCTAATTTTGTTCTTTCAACGAAGTACTGATGACCGTTTTACCTTCTCTATTTTTGTTCCACAAAACAAATTGATGGAAATAGCTAGCACAGACAGCTTTAATTGGTAAAGTGTTGAAAGTAAAAGTTCTTTATAGAGTAGCCTTAGATTGGGGACATCTGAAGCAGTTGCTTTTAAATATGCCAAAGTTTGAGTTTTACAAATCATTACCAAAAGCTAGTTTCCCAAATTTAATATTTCATGCCCAGAAATGCAGTGCTCCGTTTGCTTCATGTGTGGAGGGTCTAAATGTTTCAAATATCTAAAAACAAAACCCAATAACTTACCGGAGCAGAAAAAGCATTGATTGACGTCACAGGAACTCACATTGCTATCTTCTGTGATGATAAGAAATTATGTAGAACAACCCGAATTGCATTTCATCAGGTTGACCCATCATTGCATTTACGCTTTATATGATATCATGCAACTCATCGAAAATCTTGATCCATTAAAGTTTATTCCAAATTTGAAATTTTTTCCTCGATGTTAACAAAGCGCCACACGAGAAAAACAAAATGTGTAAACAGGTGAATCCATAAAACACGTTGTTAGGGAAAGTAGTAAAAACTTGCACGATTTATTCAATGAAAGCGGAAAAAATAAATAAATAAAAAAATTGAAACGATACATAAATAAATAAAAATAATAAAGTTTGAAACTTTAAGTAATACTTATCTTGTGGAGAAAAACGGATTAAACTTAAAAATGACGTATTTATATTTTATACATCAA